GCAGTGGGGGTGCCGGGCTTTGGGGGCAGGCGCCTGGGACTGCCCGCCTCTCACCTGCCGGATGGGTGGAGACGCGGGTTTGCTGGGAGCCCGCCTGCCGTGCACAGGGCTCGCTTCCCTCTTCTCTGTCGGAGTCGGCGTGAGGCTTCCTCGGGCGGGTGTCCACGTGGGTGCCATTCCCACGCCTCGTCTCTGTTGCTTTGCAGGCTCTGCGTGTCTCCCCACCTCACGGCTGCAGCCCCGTCGCAGAGGCCCGTCTGCCTGCCGCAGCGGGAAGCTCAGCCGCCCCGGCCAGCGCTCCGAGCGGCCGCCCACCGGCTCTGGGAGCTGCTCTGAGTTTTAGACGAGAGAAGAAGCCGTCTCCAGCGCCGGGGTGTCCGCCTGAGGCTTTTCCCGCTTTGCAAGGGTTTTGGGGAGAGGGTCTCCCAGAGGGGCGTGCGCACACCAGGGCTCTCTCCGCCTCCGGGGGGAGGACGCGTTTGCAGGACTTGGAGGTCACCTGTTTCCGCAAGTCCTGGACGGGGCCAGGGGCCAGGCATGAAGAGCCCTGGATGGGGGCAGCACCGCCTGCAGCCTGTGACTCGCGTCCCTGTCCCTGCTGTGATGTCGCCCACAGGGGACGTCCCAGGTCTCGGGGGGACGGTCAACAGGACTGAGGGCAGGAGCTACCTAGAGAGAACCGAGGACACATTCTAAGGGGCAGAAGCCTGTGGGGTGACCTCAGTGGTGGACGACCCCGGGCAGCTGAGTTAATGACAAAATCTCATGGTCCCTCCCCAGAGCGGGGCTTGCCCTCGTGACCTTGCCACCTCCCGGTCAGGCTGGCCATGGCCCATCACACGGCAGCACCCAGGACCTTGGGTACCACAGGCCGCTGGACAGGGGGTGCCTCCCCTCCTCAGAGCACATCACAAGCACCAGCAATGTCCCCGGCTCCTGATGGGGACCCAGAGGGACTCCAGGGGCCCACCCCACCCCCCGGACATCCCCCGGCGCTGGACGCATCTCAGTGCGGAGGTCAGCCACGAGGTCACCGCTCCCGACCCCGCTGGCCCCTGGCATCCTGGCCTTCCAGCTGGTAACTGGATCTCACCCCTCTGCCCCCCAGGCTCACAACACAAGCTCCGTCCCCAGAGAACTGCCAGACATCTGTTCGTTGTTTTTCACCTTCCAAGTGGCTGGTCCCTCCTCAGTGTATCCCAGCCCAGCCCGCCCCTCCCGTCCCTCCCTGCAGGCACTAGCCTTTGGGCTTCTCCCGGGGACTTGGACCTTGAAGTGGGGTTCACTCACTGATGCGCCCCAGCTGCCACTCTGGAACGTCTGAGAGCAGAAGGTGCCCCTCCAGTTCAGACGGTGCTGCTCCTTCTCGGCCCCCTGCAGCCACAGGGCCCCACCCCAGGAGATGGCTCTGCTGGGAAACTGGGGAGCCCTGGCCAGGGGAGGGGCTGGGTGGGAAGCAGCTGCTGGGTCTGCAGGCCCTGCCCTGTCGGCTGCCGGGCTGAGCTAAGCACACGTCTCACAGCACAAAGAACCTCCGGTGCCCTCCCTGGCGGGTCCCTCTCCGTTTCTAAGTTAATAAATGAATTGAGGACATTCTTGTTTCTTCGGGCTCTGGGGCCCGTCTTGGGGGACAGTCATGGGCTGACGTCGATGGTCACTCCACCAGGCAGGGCTTGGGGGCTGCCCCTCCTGAGAATGAGGTCCCACAGGCACCCAGATATCAGGGCTCCCCCTGATGCAGGTTGTTTGGCAGTTGTTCCCATTGGTTCCAACACTGTTCCCCGTTCTCCCGAGAGTCACCGTCTCCTGGAAAAGCCCTGTCTCGAGCGCTCACTTGCGAAATTCCATTCGTCTCCGCGCTCCTGCGTATGCACTCGGGGCTCCCAGTGGACGCTCATTTGTGTGAAAATAACAAGCTTATTAAGGCGGGCGCGTTATTCCCAGCCGTTACTGCGCAGGCCCGCGCCCGGTCTGTGCCCTCCCAGGAGTCTGAGCTGTGCCCTGGGGTCCAGTGGGGGCCTCTGCAGACGTGTGTGGTCCCTCCAGCTGAGCTCCAGGGGCGCAGTGCAGGGTGGGGGACCCATGGGCAACAGGCCGGCTGGGCTCCAGCCCCAGCTCTCCTTGTACAGGGCTGGCTCCCCTTTGTAAGGTCCCTCTTCTCAGGTACTTAGAGGTTCCCAAACTCCCTTCAACAATGTCCATTTCCTTTGCCCTTTCATATTGCAAGCTTCCAACTAATTTGTGTGTTAGGTTCTAGCCCGGCCGGCGTGGCTCAGTGGTTGAGCGTCGACCTATGAACCAGGAGGTCAGGGTTCAGTTCCCATTCAGGGCACATGCCAGGCTTGTGGGCTCCATCCCCATTGGGGGGTGTGCAGGAGGCAGCCGATGTCTCTCATCACTGATGTTTCCTATCTTTCCCTCTCCCTTTCTCTGATGTCAACAAGAAAATACTTAAAATTTTTTTTTACAAAAAAGGGAAGATTCTAGAAAGAAAAGGCATTCCAAATTTTTGTGGGGAGTCGAAGGAAACACCGTTAGAATGTTTCCCTTTTGGCCCTGGCCGCCGGGAGACTCAGAGCGGCCGAGTTTCAGCGCCGAAGCTGTGCTTTCCCTCTTGGCACAGCGCCTCCTCCTCCCATGCCTGGGCTGTCACGCCCCGAGCCACCTGGGGGCCTGGCTGACTGCCATCAGAGGACCCAGCCCCTGTCCACAGTCTGAGCAGCACCCCCTGGGCCCGCCCCCAAGCTCCTCACCGCAGCCAGGCCCCTGTGGGTGCCGGGAGCGTGTGTCAGGTGGCCCTGGGCCCCTCCTGTGGACACACACGAGGCCAGGCTGGGGAGAATCAGGTTGTCCAGGCAACTGCCCGGCTCCAACTCTGAGGCTGGGGGTGGGGTGGGAAGCTCGGGGACCCTCACAGGGAAGGGGCAGCTAGGGAGGTTTCAGCTGGTCTGTTCCCAGGAGCCAGTTCCAGTCACGCCCCTCCCCCAGTCAGCTCTCCCCTCCTGGGACCCTCTCGCCGCCCCCCCCCCCCCCATAGGTTTCCCAGGGAGAAGGCAAGGCCCACAAAGGCGCCAGGAGGGAGGCACAGCCCTACATTCTGTGGGGACTGTTTCCAGCAGAGCAGAGCCTCCATTAGCATATGAAAGGCGGCTTGGGGACTGGCCAGGCTGTGACTAGGATACCAGACGTGGCTGGAGACTTGTGGGGGTGGGGGTGGGAAAGGCCCAACCCACATTTCCTGAACTGGGTGCAGAGCAGCTCCTGCCCAGCCAGGCCCCCTTTCCCACTGCACCTCCTCACAGGACACCCCGGGGGGGGGGGGGGGTGCCCACGGGGCTTGCCTCACCATCCTTCCATGACCCGCAAGCTTCCAAGAACAGGAACTGTGGGGAGGGAGGCCTCCTCCCTGACCAGGCGACATCCAGGCTACTAGGGGGTGAGGGGCCAGGTCCCCTGGACATGTTCCCCGTCTTATTTCTGAGGCCCTGCAGCTCAACTGACCTCCATTCTGCTTCCGAGGAAAAGACAAGACCTGCGCCCTGCATCTCCCCTTCCCTGCAAGCTCTTTTCTGGTCTCTCGGCTGCATTTCTGACTCAGATTCCTGTCCTGGGCATTCGTTACCAACTTCCTGTCCGGGCAGAGCTGTTGCTGCAACCCAATCTGAGGCGGTTTGTACACCTCCGGCACGGGACCCGCGGACAGAAAAACGCCACGTGTGTGTCAGCCACTCGGCAGCCAGCTCTGCGCTGTGGCCCAGGCTCCGGGCCCAGCAGGGTCCCTGGCGGATGGCGGTCTGGATTCTTGCAGCCCTGAGCGCGCTGTGCGTCTGTTCGGGAAGGAAGGATGGGACCTCCGTGCGCTTCTTGCCTCCCAGACGGAGCCCGTCCCTGACTCAAACCCAAGGACCACGGGAGGCCTGACCCACTCAAGAGGTTGGGGGAGAGGGAAAGAGAAACATCGGTGATGAGAGAGAATCATGGCTCAGCTGCCTCCTGCACGCCCCCTACTGGTTGGGGATGGAGCCTGCAACCCAGGCCTGTGCCCTGACCGGGAATTGAACTGTGATCTCCTGGTCATAGGTCGAAGCTCAAGCACTGAGCCACCCTGGGCGCAGAGGAGACTCTTAAGACATTGGTGCCCTTGCAAGTTCACTGGGAGAGGGAAGGTGCTTGGCACTCTGGCGGGAGTGTCTTCTTCCCATTGTTGCGAGAGGAGCTTGTAAGTGGCAAAGCCAAGATCCCAGGCGGCTTTGCACGGCGCCATAGGGCACAGAGCCCAGGGTCCAGGGGGCTTGGGGCCTTTTGCAGGAGTGGCAGCCCGGCTCCCACGGGCGGCTCAGCACAGCCTCTCTGCTGTGGTGTGTGGCAGTGGTTTCTCCGTGGAGCCCGCCTTCTGTGATCAAATCCAGCCATGTGGGCAGAAAACTGGTAAAGAAAAGCAAATTAACCATCTTTTTACATGGGAGTCTATGGCAAAGGGCATTTCCACTGCACTGATTTAACTGGACAGAGTTCTGGCACTTGGCACCCTGGGGTTCGGGGTCCCGGCTATAGCAAGAGTGGGAGTCCCCAAGAAGCCACCAGTGCTCCAGGCTCTCCTGGTTCCTGTCCCCAAATGTGGAAATAGGTTCCATTGGGAGGAAGGCTCTCCTTGGAGTTGGGGAAGGGGTCCCCCCCCCCTTTTTTTTTTCTTTTTTCTTTTTTTAAATATATTTTATTGATTTTTTACAGAGAGGAAGGGAGAGAGAGAGATAGTTAGAAACATCGATGAGAGAGAAACATCGGTCAGCCGCCTCCTGCACATCTCCCACTGGGGATGTGCCCGCAACCCAGACACATGCCCCTGACCGGAATCGAACCTGGGACCTTTCAGTCCGCAGGCCGACACTCTATCCACTGAGCCAAACTGGTTTCGGCAGGAAGGGGTCCCCCTTTACCAGGAACCCAGAGTTTTCTCCAGCAAGCCCAGACCCGGACGGACAGCCACACACCAGCCGCAGTCGAGACGTACAGAACATTTATTTTTTTGGAAGGGTTGAGGGGGACTTTACAGAAATCTGAAGCCAATAACTAGACAGGAAGATAAATAAAATACAAAGCCAGTATGTTGTGGCAAAATTCCAGGAAACACACTGAAAAAAAAAATCTTTACAGTTTAAAACTGTTCACTTTATACATAATTACAAATGCATATACAGCACGTGGGTTTCACCCCTTACTTAGTGGGATTCAGCACAGAAATGTTCACACAGGGGAAACACGAATGAGCAGACGCAGGTGTGCGTGGTCATCTCCTGCCTGTCCCGGTGGCCCCCGCGCCCCACGGGGTGCGTGACACACAGGAAGCCACAGGCTGAGCCGTGACCACAGGGCGGGGCCCTGTCGTGCTCTCGCTGCCCTTCCTGTTGGGTGGCTGCAAAAGGCAGAGGTGACAAGCGGAGTGCACGGGGGGCCAGGGGCTGGGGCCGGTCCTCCGTTGGCCGCAGGAGGCAGGGAGGCGGGGCACAGGCCGGCTCTGGCTGGGTGTTGGCAGCAGCACAGCAGGGTCTGTGGCAGGAGAGCCTGGCCCACTTGCGTTTGCCCATCTTTGAGCCTCACGAGTTGGAGAAGTCATTTGAGGCCTGTTGTCTTTGCATAAATTCAGTTAGAGGAGGACATGGGAAGCAGCAGCCTGTGTGTGTTTTTCCTATTATGGCCGCATTACAATACTTGTCATCCTAACACCTGGCCAGCAGGCGTCCGTCCCAAGGCTCTGGTTAAGAAGGAATGTCACGCTGCGTTGGAAGAAAGAGGAAGCAGCAAAGCCAAGCACGCTGGGCCCCTCCCCCGTCTCTTTAGGCCAAGGAGCGCCAGGCCCGGCTAGGACCGGCCAGTCAGGACCACAGCCGTGTTGTCCAACGGTCCCGCTGCAGGGGCAAGGCACACCCACCCTGCCAGCCACAGTCCCTGCAGGCTCCCATTCCAAGCACACCCCAGCGTGGAGGGGGTCGATGCCCTGTGGCAGTGTCCCCGCCAAACCACCCTCTCTGTGGCCCTGGAGCCTCCTCACCAAGCCCCTCTCTACACCCCTCCCAGGGCTCGGCTGTCCTCTGGCACAACTGCCACCATCGCACGGGAGGTCCACACTCAAACCCTCGGGGAAAGACCCCTGGGGAGAAAGCCTCAGAGACAAGGATGACGGAGGAGCGACTTCCGGACCACGGTCTGGCCTCGAAGGTTATGTGCGGTCCCAGCTTTTCTGAAGGCAGAGCCCATTCTGTGAAACCCTATGCGCTCTATTCCCGCCCCAAAAAGGCCCCGCAAAGCCCCAGGGCCTCACGCTATGCTCACTGCTGCTAATGCCGGGCTTGGGAAGGTAACAGATAAGGGAGCAAGTGAGCAAAGGGACAGGTTCCAGTGGTATTGCCCTGAGACTTAAGAGGAAAAAAGGTAAGATTCGTACCTTTTCCAAAAAAATCTTGACACAGATTTCTTGCCCACATACAGCTTCGGGGGTAGGATGGAACGTTGGCAAAGGCTGAATTGTGGGCGTTTGCGTGTTTTTAACCACCTGGGTTTTCCAAGAAGGAAACAGTTGACACAGTTGTCACAAAAGCGAAGCCAGCTGGCGACAGCATGAAAAGTGCACAGGTCGCCCAGGTAGGATGACAATTACCGAGATGATATAATGGAGAGAAGGTACCCCTCCTTCCAGGAAACTCATTAGATTCTGGAAACCTGGAGACTCTGGAAGGTGTCTCCTTCGTCCCCCCAAAACTTAAACACAATGTTGGGTACCTGATCTCTGGAGGCTGACAGAGAAGCTGGGGGCCCCGAGGACTTGAACCTGAGTCACCCGAGAAGTCAACCCCTTCTCCCAGGAAAGAAACCCAGGCGGGGCTTAGACTCAGCGCCGTCCTCAAGGTCATAAGCACAAGCACAGCAGCAAAAATCCCCAAGTTCAACCTCAGAGGGAGGGGGTGGGGCGGGGGAGTGAGTCTCAAACGGAAGCCACGCTGTGCAGCCACACACGCTCCCTGTCCACTGGCCTCTGAGCGCAGCCCGACAGCCCATCGCATCGTCCCGGGCACAGGCGGCCGGGCGCACGTGGACCCGGTGCTGCCTTCCAGCAGAGCGACACGAAGCCCCGGGGTAACCCAGCAGGCGACAAGGACAGACAGCTGAGCTCTGGGAGGGCCAGGTGGGCATGGCTGTGCTGCGAAGCTGGGGGGACTGGCTGCTTGCTGTTTAGGGTCTTTGGTGGTGGGCGGAGGGGTGGGGTGGATACATGGTTATGAGAGAAAAGGAGAAATCGGTTGGTTTTATTCCTCAAGTCTATTGCTGGAGGGAAAGAAACTCAATGACAAAACCAGGCAAGCGTCCCTCCTCGGCAGCAAGAAGACACCCCCTCCTTGGTAAAGGATGCGCTGGGGCTGGGGTGGGGCAGGAAAGGGACCCTTCCCCACCCTGGTGTCTTGTGGGCCTTCAAGGCACTTGCAGACACTGAGGGGTGAGCAGCCGGCGCCGCTCCCCGGCCAGTGACCAGGGAGTTGGGTAACCGTTGGGACAGTATGTTCGCCCTCACACACATGGACACGGACACGGACACGGACACGGACACACACACACAATAAATAAAACATAACTAGCTAACGATTTTAAACCAGACCTCTTTCAAATAAACTGAAAGATAAATATCTCCATCTGCAAGGCCAGCTTGCAATTCATCAAGCACCAAGTTACAGATTTTTTGTTTTTTAAAAAGGATGGTCACGGCTCCCGAGGGGCAGAAGGCAGGAGTGGGAGCCGCGTTAGAGCACGGTCCCCGGGGTGCCTCCCGGCAGCCACAGCGGGGCAGGTGCGGCCTCGCAGGGGAGCCACGCCCATGAACCCCGGCACCGCCCAGCTGGTGACAAGCTGAAAGCAAATACAGACCCAACGCAGAAGGCAAAAAGGACAGAAGACAGAGGACAGGAAACAGGCCGCCTCTGAGGCATCTTCACGGGGCAGAGTGCAATAACCAACAGGCCTTTAGGTTTTTAAAAAACTTTTTAAGAAGTTAAATTTTGCCAAGCCTCCAGACAGAGTGAGAGCCCTCCCGAGCCACACCCGGCCTGTCTCTCCTGTGCTGGTGGAGACAGACCACTGTTTCACACCTTCACTGAGCTACTTCCCAGCTGGGGGTCCTAGCCTGGGGCGGGGACAAGCTCCTGCAGGAGGAGCGGGCCCCTATTGGTGGAGCCGAGGGGCCGCTGTCTCCCATGAGCGCCAGGCAGGACCAGCTTCCCGGGGGCCACCGTGGTCCTCAGGAACACTGCCAGGACGCTGTGGCCACTTCTGAGTGGTCAGTGACAACCAAAAAGTGTCACCTTGCAGGGGTGGTGGCGAGGAGGCCTCTCTGCTTCATCACGCCCAGAACATGTGGGCAAACACCTTGGAAAACCAGGGTGGAATTTCTTCCGAATTGATCAATGAAATCGGGCCCTTGTTTTGGTGGTTGGAACACGAGAATTGAGGAGGTGCAGATCAGATGCTTTTGAAACACCAAGTCTTTTCTCACTGGTTTCCACACGTGTCCGTCATCCCTTCTACAGTGAACGGAGATACATGCAAACAGGCGTGCGGAGTGGGGGGTGGGAACCGCCTCGGGGCCCAGCGACGAGAGCCCAGCCTGCACGCGCCTGCGCAGTGCTCACGGACAGACTGCGTGACCCTGCCAGCCCCACGCACGTATGCGGACGGTCACTGTATGCACACACAGCAAGTCCCCTCCACCTGCTGTTGGCGTCTCAGAGGCGGTCCCCAAAACAAAAGGCAGCCAGCATTTCACACCTCATCTGGAACATTCTTTCAGCTTTTAGGATTCCTGACATGGCCCACACCATCGCCTGGACTTCTGGGGACACTGCTTTCAGTGTAACACTCTCAACCGGCCGGCCCCCACCCCGTCGCCAGGGTGGGAAGTCTGGGCCTCCTCACCCACCGACGCGCGGGACCCCCTGTCCCTCAGGTCCCGGCCCTGCAGTGCGGAGGAGCGATGCTTGAAGAGGGCGGTGTCCACGCAGGAGAGCGGGCACGCAGGGACAGCAGGAGGGGGCTGGTGCCACGGCCAGCGGGGGAGGGGGATCAGCAGAAGATCTCCTCACCCTCTGCGGGCACTTCTGATGCAGGGCCGTCTGGAAAAGGGGACACAAAAGGAAAAAGAAATTCAGAAAAAAATCAAGCTCCCCCTTTTCCTCCCCAAACACAAGGCTCTAAGCTGCAGACAGACGAGGGGCTGGGGGACCGCCCTCTGCTCGCCGCCCTCACTCCTGCCAGGAGCCTATGTGATACTGAAGTGCGCACGGAGCACAGGTACTATTATCAGTCCCTGGCGAAGCCGGGGAAGGCGGGAGGCTGGGGTGCTCCCGGGAGGGGGGCTCATTCCTGAGCTAGATGGACCCTGAGAGGGAAGCCTGCCCTCCGCACGCATGTGCCGCCTCCTGCAGGCATGTGCCGCACCAAGCACCAGCTCCCTGAACTGGTATCTGGGTTCGCTGTGGGCAGTGCAAGGGGGTTTGGTGGGAAGTAGGACCGTTTGGCTCTTATATACCCCATGGTCCCTCTCACTACACTAACCCGGCCCGCCACTAACATCTCCCCCTCCTCGGGCTCCAAGGACAACCCGGCCACGGGGAGACGGTGTGCGACTCACCCCCGGACGGAGAGCGGCCTTTGTTCTTCTTCTTTTTCTCCTTCTTGTCCTTTGGCTTTGCCAATCCAAACAGGCGGGTGGAGGAGGAGGGGGGCGCCGGGGTCTGGCTGGGGCCCTCCGGCCCTCTGCTGGGTTGGTTGGCAGAACTCAGTATGTGAAAAGGCCCCTTGTCTTTGTGTGTCCGAGCAATGCTGTTCCGTTTTGGGGACACCGAGAGTTCTGAGTCCAAGGACCCTGACTTGGCTATCGAAGGCGCAGGCGGCAGGGGGGACTCCTCGGGGTTGGGGAGGAAGGTGGGGATCCTCAGCAGCTTGGGGTGTGGATGGGAGACCTGCACACGTGCGAGAGAAGGGGTGTGCTCAGAGGCTGCGGCACCCGGGGCCACTGGGGAGGCTGGCCAGGCTGTGACCCCTGCCCGGACTCCACAGTCCTCAACATAAAAAGGCTCAGGACTCCTTTACGGCCCTCCCCCACGCAGGATCGATGCCAGTGCTGAAAACGTCACCTTTGACACCATTACTATGTTTACTACATGCACGTAACACCTGCATCATAAAGAATGAATAGGACCGTGGGCGAGGTCCCTCCCACTCCCTGAAGAAAGAGGGGCGCTGCAACCCTGACCCTGAAGGCTGATGTACACAGGGACGTGGGGATTACTTGGGGCTCAGAGCTTCTAGAAGCCTGTTCAGGGTAGAAGTACAGCAGCTGGACAGTGGCGTTTACACCAGGAGTCTATTCTGGTCAAAGGCCAAACTGAGATAAAGCGAGATGAGGGCTGTCAGCCCCACCCACGCTCTCTGTGCCCGTGGAGCCCGAGGACTGGACGGGTGGGGAGGAAGGAACCCTCCTGCGTCTCTCTCACACACAAGGAACCCTCCTGCGTCTCTCTCACACACACACACGCGTGCACACACACACACACACACGACAACTCTGCAGGGAGCAGAACCGTCCCTTCTAGAAGCTGTCAGCTGAATTCTCTTCGATGGTCCAAGGTCAATCGATCCATCAAATGGCAACAGGACGTGCATATCTACCAGGCGATCTGTGCCCGCCCAGGCTTCCCCCTGCCCCCAGCGGCTGTGCTCCAGGATCGCACGGGCCCCTGCAGGAGCTCAGTGCTGCAGAGGGAAAGCTGCTTCCCCGAGGAGCAGCTACAGCACAAGGAGCCCTCCACCAGCACCTCAGCACCAACACCCTCTCCGCACAGAGCAGCTGCCGCCCTCCCAGGGGTGGGCTCTCCCTGTAACTGATGCCCCTGAACCCACCTTCCCATCCTTTCAGGGCCACTGACAGGCACCTGGTGCTCACAGGCAGGGCACGGTCCCCGAGCCCTGGCACATTTCCCCACATGAGCTACAGCTTCCTTTGGGGGCCGTTCTGATCTCTTTCTTGTGGTTAATCCTCACCTGAGGATATGCTTTCCACTGATTTTCAGAGAGTGGAAGGAAGGGAGGTAGAGGAGGGAGAGAGAGAGGAGGAGGAGAGAAGGAGAGAGAGAGAAGAACATTGACGTGAGAGAGATGGAATCCGCAACCCAGGTAGGTGCCTCTGACCGGGAATTGAACCTGAGACCCTTCAATCCACAGGCTGGTGCTCTGACCACTGGTCCACACCAGCCAGGGCCATTCTGATTTCTTACACGGGACAGAGCAGAGGGGCTGCTCCAGAGTCCCAGCTGGCTGACCACCACTGTCTCGGCTCGCCGAGGAAGGGCCCGTTAGCTTCCTGCTCAAGTCCCCAGCACTGCCATTCCCCACATCAGCCTCTCGGGGATGGAACCAGGAGAGAAGACTCCCTTCCCCCTCCCCTTTCCTACGAAGAGAGAGTCTGTAGAATCGGCCTCTCTCTCGCGTCCTTTCTCCTGGTGCTGAGCAGAGGTTCCACTTGCCGTGGCCCCTTCTGTCGCGGCCCCCCATACCTGACAGACGGCCCCGTACCCGACAGGCGGCCCCGGACCCGACAGGCGGCCCCGGACCCGACAGGCGGCCCCGTACCTGACAGGCGGCCCCCGTACCTGACAGGCGGCCCCGTACCTGACCCGTACCTGACAGGTGGCCCCAGACCTGACCCGTACCTGACAGGTGGCCCCAGACCTGACCCGTACCTGACAGGCGGCCCCGGACCTGACCCGTACCTGACAGGCGGCCCCGGACCTGACCCGTACCTGTCAGGTGGCCCCAGACCTGACCCGTACCTGACAGGCGGCCCCATACCTGACCCGTACCTGACAGGTGGCCCCGGACCTGACCCGTACCTGACAGGCGGCCCCGGACCTGACCCGTACCTGACAGGCGGCCCCGGACCTGACCCGTACCTGACAGGCGGCCCCGGACCTGACCCGTACCTGACAGGCGGCCCCGTACCTGACAGGCGGCCCGTACCTGACAGGTGGCCCCGTACCTGACAGGCGGCCCCGGACCTGACCCGTACCTGACAGGCGGCCCCGTACCTGACAGGCGGCCCCGTACCTGACAGGCGGCCCCGTACCTGACAGGCGGCCCCGTACCTGACCCGTACCTGACAGGCGGCCCCGTACCTGACCCGTACCTGACAGGCGGCCCGTACCTGACCCGTACCTGACAGGCGTCGCGCTCCAGCTGCCTCTGGCCGAGCCGCTCCGCGTCCCGCTTCAGCTGCTCCTGCTCCCGCTCCAGCTGCTTCTGGGCCGCGCGCAGCCGCTCCAGGTCGTACTGGTAGGCGCCCCGCTTCTGCAGCAGCGCCTCCCGGTCCCGCTCCAGGTCCTGCTGGCCGCGCTGCACCTCCTCCTCGCGCTGGGCCAGCCGGGCCTCCCGCTCCTGCAGCGCCCGCTCCCGGGCCTCCCACTCGCGCTCCCGCCGCCGCCGCTCCTCCAGGTGCTGCGCCTGCTGCCTCTGCAGGTCGGCCAGGTCCTGGCGCTGCCTCTCCAGGCTGCGCTGCTTCTCCTGCTCCACCAGGGAGCTGGGCCGGGACGAGCTGCGGGCCAGCGCCCTCTCGCTCAGCAGCAGCCTCTGGTCCTCGATGTAGCTGTCCTGCTGCAGCACCACCCCCTGCGGGCACCAGGGGGGGCGGTGAGCCTCTGGCTGGGACCGCCTCCCGGCCCCTCCTTCCTGTCCTGGGCCCAGGGGCAGCAGGCACGGGACAGAGGACACTCGGCCCTCCTGTTGGGAGCTGGCCCGGGACAGCCCTCCAGGAGAGCAGGGGGCGTATCAACCAGGGGTGCCAATGGTGTGGGGACTCAGTATGGTGTCAAACTGGGTACGTGCTGCCTGCAGACACGGGCACTGCCCGGGGTGGGGTGTGTGTGTCTGGAGGTGGGAGCAGGTAGGGTGGGACTGGGTACGGAAGTGAGCAGATCGGCAGGATGTTCCCAGAAAGCACTCAGGAGTAGGTGCCTGGGCCCTGGCCAGTTTGGCTCAGTTGGATAGAGCGTTGGCCTGCAGACTGAAGGGTCCCGGGTTCGATTCCAGACAAGGGCATGTGCTGAGGCTGCAGGCTCCTCCCGGGCTTGGGCCCTGGTCAGGGTACATGCAGGAGGCAACCAAGCGATGTGTTTCCCTCACATCAATAAAAAGAGTAGGTGTTGCCGAAACCGGTTTGGCTCAGTGGATAGAGCGTCGGCCTGCGGACTGAAAGGTCCCAGGTTCGATACCGGTCAAGGGCATGTACCTGGGTTGCGGGCATATCCCCAGTTGGAGATGTGCAGGAGGCGGCTGATCGATGTTTCTCTCTCATCGATGTTTCTAACTTTCTATCTCTCTCCCTTCCTCTCTGTAAAAAATCAATAAAATATATTAAAAAAAAAAAAAAAAAAAAAAAGAGTAGGTGTTTGGGAGGGTCGCGCTATCCAAATACCACAGAGCGACATGGGCCAGGGACGTGCACCTCACACCCAGGCCTGTGGAGAGGGAAATCGCCTGTGCCTGTCAGCGCCCTGTGCCTCGTGGCGCGGCCTCCCAGGGCCCCCCAGCACTCCTGCCACCTCGGCCCATCCAGACTCAGAGGCTGACCACACTCTAACTGCTGCGTCCAAGACTGTCCTCAGCACGAAGGCCCCATTCTCTAGACTGAGGGCCCCGTTTACCCATCAGTAACCTATAAAGTAAAGCACCCAGGCCACCGACACCCCCTCCGCACTGTTCTTCTGGAGAGAAATGCATGAAGGGGCGGGAGAGGAGGCTCATACCTGCAAAGTGCTAAGGAGCTCGTGGAGGTGGACGATGCTCTGGATGACCTGCTGCACAGGGGACACAATGGAGACCTCCCGTCAGGACGGAGCCCAGACCCAGCCCCCCGCCGGCCATCTGACCGACAAGCTCCCTACACACAGCAAGGCACTTGCATTCCAACCAAAGGCTCTCAAGCTGAAAGCACCGAAGAGAATAAGCGGGTACAAGCAGCCACGAAAAACATGACACGAAGAACGGTGGTGGGCGGGACCTCAGAACACAGTAAAATGTGTTAAGCGCCGGGAATTTAAAACGGGTGCCACCAAAATGACACACCTACCGATCTCACAGGACAGAAAGCACAAAGCCAATCGTAAGAATTTAGCAGGTGGTACAAGGAGCATCTATACATCAATGGGGAAGAAATCGCAATGAATTATTCTGAGAAAATTAGCTAGATCTTTGGAAAAAATTAAGTTTGAACCCTGGCTCAGACAAAAAACAGTCTAATAGATTAAAATGTCAAGTGTCAAAGAGCCATAGCAGAGCTCTAAGGAAGCAGGCCACACTTCGGCAATAAGCCATGTGACGCCTGTGGCCAGCGTGACAGCCCCCTGTGACGTGTGCAGGGCACAGCCCGGAGCCAGCCTGTTCACACCAGGAAACAAGCGGGAGTTTTCCTAGTCGAGCAGCGAAAACAAGTCACCCTCTCCAACAGCTCGCCGTCCTTACCTCGTTGTTTCTTTTCAGCATAAACGCCAGGTTAGCATTTCCACCCTAGGAAACAAAACCACAGTTTCAAAGCATGAAGCTCCCGGGGCAGGAAGCACACCCAGTGTGCGTCTGGGTCACACTGCGCGCCCCTGTCCTGTTCTATGTTCTATCTCAGCCTCTCATGCAGGGAAATGAAGGTTCCCCACTGAGCTGCTACTCGAGCCTTGCCAAGAGTTCATGCTGGTTTGGGCCTTTTACACAAACCTCTTGACAAAACTGGTCCTGCAGGGCCGGGCCGAGCTATGAATGTAAACACGAAGCTCTAAGCCGAGAGGCCACGCGGCCCGAGAGACGGGGACTCCTAACAGCACCGAGTGCTCTAACTTGCACTTTCCTCTTCAGATCAAGTGGGAAACAAAAACAGCAAGTCAGGAATCCAAAACGAGATCAAAGTGGACGCATTCCAAAGCCCATGAATCAGAGAGCAGTGCCCAGGAGGTCGTAGTGCATTTTGGGAAAACATGCCTTTTTCAGACCACTGTCCGATTCCGTTCGCCGCAGATCCTGGCCATCGTCTCCTTCTTCCTTGTCTCCTCCTAAACACACAAACAGGCGTGTCCTTTCAGCTGTGCAACAGATTAGCCAGGAAAGAATACAACACACCCGGCTTAGGGATACGGTATTTCTGAGCCCCACTGAGGACAAAGACTGGGAGGCCACCTGGAGGCAGCCAAGTGATTCCTAATCATTCTACTGACGCCGAAGAACCAAATGGAAAGATGAATGTTGTTATGCCTCTGGCTGCAGCTTAGCTGAGACCCGGAACCCCTTCGTTATGCGACATGAACCTGACACTGAGATAGCTCCCTGAGTGGATGGCAGCAGGTCCTTAGGAGACTCTCGCTGAAACATTACGGATGACTGAGACAGACGACCATTTCTAGTTCTGTGTTAGTCCAGGACAGCCTCTGAAAGCACCAGCTCACACTCACTCACCTTTGGAAGCGTTCATCTGATGGCTGTCGAATCCCCCGAAGGTCTCCGCTCTCCGGGGCAAGGAGACAGGGCCAACTGTGCCTTCCTGCCCCACAGGACTGCTCACCGCCTGCCCGAGGGGGCCTCCCAGGCTTCCACTCACCAAACCCTGAAGGATCTCCACTGGGAAGAGGAAACATGCAAACCCTACGTTAAAAAGCTCAGATTAATCCAAAATAAACTGTGTGGAAAGGGATGGTGGGAGGGGCTGAATTTTACACATAAAAAACAGGAGCAAGACTAAACAGTGGAGTCTACAAAGAGGACTTGGCCATAGAACCATAAAGAAATGGAAGTGGTCACTGTGGGTCCCAGCACCTGCTCTTTCTGGAGGGCGGGAGCCAGCTTTGATGGGGGCAGGACATGTGGGAGGGCTCCTAGGGTGTCTGGCCACAGTTTACTTCTTGGCCTGGGAGTGGCTACAAGATGCTCACTGGCCCTGGCCGTGTGGCTCAGTGGGTTGGAGCATTGTCCCACACACCAAGGGGTTGTGGGTTCGATTCCCAGTCAGGGCACACAGCCAGGTTGCAGGTTTAATTCCAGGTTGGGAAGGATATGGGAGGCAACTGATTGATGTTTCCCTCCCTCCCTCTCTCTTTCTCTCTCGCCCTCCCTCCTTTCCCCTGTCTCTAAAATCAAATTTTTTTAAAAAGGTGCTCACCTGGTAACTCACTAAAGTGAAATGTTTGTTCGGGGTTGTTTTCTGTATTTGTGCTGTTTAACAATAAAAAGTAACAGTGTTTAACCACACTGGGGAAAGAAGGGGCAGCGCTGAACGGAGATTACCCTCATTTATTGCACTTTTCATTAAAGGTCCTCCCTTGAGCGCCTCCTCTGTGTTGGAGCGGAAGAGGATGCGAGGGCTGACGGTGGGGGAGTATTCCTCCGGCAAGGGGGTGCTGCACTCCATCATGTCCCGGAAGATGCCCTCCTTCTCTTCCAGCAGGAGCAGGATCTGCTGGTCCTTCTGCTGGAGTTGTTCTGCGGTGGATGGAGAAAGGGACTGGTGGTCTGATCCCTTGGTATGATGCGGTGACTAAGACACGAGCGCCACCTTGTGGTATCTTACGGGACAGCAGAGAACAGAGCTTTCCCCCTTTAATTTCCTTCCTGGCGACTGTGTCAAGTTTTCCTTCTGTAATTTCTATCTAGTAACCTCCCCTCGTCCTTCAAACACTGGGATTTCTGACATCACAAGCCAGCGCTCTTTTCTGGCTTTTGCCCATCACCACATCAACTCGCTCCAGGGTCATAAGGAAATCTTCTATGTCATCCTTTCCAGCACGGAGACTCCTCCCTCCTGTGAGGCCCTCACTGGTTCTCTTCCTAAAATCCTCCCTCAGGTACAGACCTGTCACCTGCAGTGGAATACCTGGGGTTCCCTTGGCTCCACCCTGGGCTGCTGCCTAGCCTTACACGCCTTCCTCCTGGGGTCTCCTTAACTCCCAGGCCTTCAATTATTGCTGGTGCTAACACCCCAGCACCGGCAAAGGGGGATGAGCACTCGCTCTGCTGTCAGGAGACAGGGAGCAAAATCCTGGCCCTGGTGAACTGTAGGTGGGCCCTGGTTGGCGCGGCCTTTGTGCGCCTCAGCTTTCTCAGCTGCATAATGGGCATGAGGATCCAAGTCTCGCAGGGATACTGATAAGACCACACAGAACAGTAGGGACTTCGTAGTGGTCAAGCATAATCAACAGGCACACTTCTCCCCAAACCACCTCATAACTCACTTGTGAGCGTACGGCACAGTAGCCAGGGTAACATAAAACCAGACTGACTGGAAAGTTCTTTTCCTCAAGTCCCTTTCCTTCTTGTTTTAATCTTAGATGTGTCCTTGATTTTTGCAAAATCCTCTGTGGCAAAGGGTCCCAGAAGACGGATACTGAGACAAGAGAATCAATATTCCGGGGATCTAGGGTGGGACACAGTCTTACGTCTGCTTTGTACCAGGACTGTGACAGCTCAGACTTGGTTTCTCTTTTGTGAAAAGCTCTTGATCCCCCGTTTTGGAGTGTCTGCAGGGCAGCTCTGGAACCCAGGCCCCGGGAGGACACCACAGACAGGGTCTCAGGCCAATTCCCACAGCTTTACCTTTTAATTCCCGGGCTTTGGTGTCCAACATTTTCTTTTCTTCCTCATTCTCACTAGGAATTCCTTCATCTTCATCTCTGTTCCTAACACAACCAAAATAAAACGGAAGGAAAGATCCCTGAGACATGGATTACCGTGGGACACCGGCGATTAGGAAGGCGCGAGGCGGGCGGCCCGGTGGGCGTGCCGGCTTACAGGGTGTTGATTGTGTCCTGGATGATCTGGATCCAGCTGTTGCGCTCCTCTTTGGAGCTGGCGTGGACTTCCACCATCTCCGGGTCCTTCATGCCCATGCTGATGAGGAATAACCCCTTCTCCTCGTGCGCCACCTCCCTCACAATCAGCTTCTTCAAGGAGATCACTGTGGATTTCTGGTCCTAGAAGAAGGGGGGGAGGGGCAGATGTAAGAAATGTTACAATAGTCTAACTCTTAGGGACAACTTCAATCTCAGGAGAGACCGGATGCCTTTTTATTTGTTGGTTGTTGTTTTTTAATTTATTTTTATTGATTTCAGAGAGGAAGGGGTAGAGGGAGAGAGAGAAACATCAATCATGAGAGAGAATCACTGATCAGCTGCCTCCTGCACACCCCCTACTGGGGATGGAGCCAACAACCCGGGCATGTGCCCTGACCTGGAATCGAACCATGACCTCCTGGTTCGTAGGTTGATGCTCAACCACTGAACTACACCAGCCAGGCAAGATGCCTTTTTAAAGCACATGGTTAGCCCTGACCAGTTTGGCTCAGTGACTAGAGCGTTGACCTGTGGACTGAAGAGTCCCAGGTTCGATTCCGGTCAAGGGCATGTACCTTGGTTGCGGGCACATCCCCAGTAGGGGGTGCGCAGGAGGCAGCTGATCGATGTTTCTCTCTCATGGATGTTTCTAACTCTCTATCCCTCTCCCTTCCTCTCTGTAAAAAATCAATAAAATATATTTAAAAAATAAATAAATAAAGCACATGGTTAAACAATGGTATATGTAGGATAAAGAGAAATATCTCATTATTTCACTTACATTTTATCAAACAGAAAAAAGTTCCACAAAGGAAATGACAACTTATGGCTATGAAGGTTTGAGTCATGTTTTCTACATGATGAATCCTCACAGAATCTGGCTAGCAATATTATAAATTAGCATGATTTACGGGGCACAATGGGTGAGAAATACTCCAGTGATCAAATGTCCAAGGCTCTCAAAAGGATTGTAAAGAAACAGAGAAAAAAAATTGGGGGGGGGGGGGGGGTAGGGGAGTCTGGGAGAGGGACAGAAAATGGTTATTATATAAGAATTATCCAGACAAATTTGTGCTGAGCTGATTGATTTTGAGAGCAGGGAGACCAACAACACAGTGTTTCATTTATGCTCAATTTACCCTTAACTGTCCTGAACACTGTTATTAATTACAAGCAGAAGAGACGAACAATTGAGCTTACCAATGACGCAAAGACGTACTTCTGGTCTTTTTCTTGAAGGAAAACTAAAATGTCAGTCAGCAGAACTGCTTGGACCTCTGCAGGGTGGGGGGAGAGAAGAGAACAATGGCTGTTGAACAGGGTAGCTCTGCACAGCACTTTCATGAGTAATTCACAACACACCCAGAGCCAGGCAGAGCCAGGCTGCACAGCCTCACATTGCGCCATGACCCGGATCTGGTCACTAGACTTTCAGGGGCATTTCAAAATGGGGTTTTTATCACCAGTGCCCCGTCTTGGAAAAGTTTAAGTATTTAGTTCTGAAAAGATCCATCTCATGAGGAAAGATTTGAAGAATAAAATACTCGAGGAATATAATTGGAGAGCAGGACCTGAACAGATGTTAGACAGCAACATATTCCACAAAATACTCCCAGTCGCAGGACTTCCCACCTTCTGCTTAGAGCGCTGGGAAAGGCGTGGGATCGCAGGCAGGAACGCTGCCAGAAGGTGATGTATAAAACTCTCTAAGTGTAAGAACAGAAGGCTACACACCGCCCTCTGATTCCACAGGCAGGTGTGAGCACGCGGGCTTTGTGTCAAGTCCACCTCAGCCTCTCCATGCCACGGAACAGCCTTCTCTGCTTCTCAACGCACATGAACATCTCTAGTTGGATCTAGGAATCAGAAGGCCACAGCCTGGCCGGCGTGACTCAGTGGCTGAGCATCAGCCAATGAACCAGGAGGTCGAGGTTAGATTCCCAGTGAGGGCACATGCCCAGGTTGTGGGCTCCATCCCCAGTAGGGGGCATGCAGGAGGCAGCCGATCAATGATTCTCTCATCACGGATGTTTCTATCTCTCTCTCCCTCTTCCTTCCTCTCTGAAATCAGTATATATCTCTATCTCTATCTCTATCTCTATCTCTATCTCTATATCTATATCTCTATATCTCTATGTATCTAAATATATATATATACATATATATATATATATATATATATATATATATATATATATATATTTTTTTTTTTTTTTCTTTAAAGGCCACAAAATCTTGATGTAATCCTGCAGGAGCACGGATGACACCTTGCATCACTGCCTGAAGGATAGTCAGACATCTCTGCAGTGAGCCTCCTGTGGCATCCTCTCTGGAAGGGGGACCATGATTCCGTGGGAAGAATGGCACTGACACGTGCGGCCCTCCTGCCGCTTCTGCCACAGCAAGACCCCCTTCCGGGTCGTCACTGCAAAGCCAGAGAGAGGCTGCCTCCCTTCCAGGGAGGGCGAGTTCTCAGCCTGGATGACAGTCATTTTCCATGCACTGCCTTTTTTTTTTAAGTTTACTTTTAAGTAATTCAGGTGCCTGCCAAAAAAAAAGTTCTAAAACACAAGTTTCACCCTCAGTGGATCCTGAGGTTTACACGCTCGGTGTCAGGGGCCGGAGAAACCCCCTCTTCAAAGGGCACCCACACAGGACCCGCTGTTCCTGGCACGAGTTCACTTGGGGTGAGAGTGACTCAACACCCACTTCTATCTGCGCTGGCGGCCTTTGAGGGCAGAAAACCTAGTGCCCCGCCGCGGGCTGGACCACAGCTTCATTCCAACATCTGGGGCCTGTTAGTTTCTGTTCGGGGAGTGGCTAACGGCTTTGGAAAGGAAAGAATACGGAGCCAATTCCAGGCAGCGGCAGCTCTGGCAAAGTCAGGCCTCACGGGGGGTGGGGGGAGGGGGGTGTTTCTGACCAGCCAGCAGCTCAGAGACAGCGGGAGAGGGCAGTGCGGACGGGCCCGAGCCAGGCCTGTGGGCTGTTGCCCCTCTCCTGTAGGGCCATACACCGTCCTTAACACCTGCGTGTTAATCTGACCCCTTGCTTTGGTCCGCAGGCTGATGCTCTATCCTCTGAACCAAGCGCTAAACTTGGTGTGTTTACATGATTTATAAGCTATCTCAAACCAGACCTTTTGGATACAAGATTAAGAACAATTACATGATGGTTGTTCCTGCATGATGTTTGGATGTGGGCTCCCTCGGAAAAACCTGGAGGTGAGTTTCTAACAAAATTACTTGGATTTTGCCCGCTGTCCTCTGGCACCTGCTTAGAGCGAGAGAGAAAACGTGACCCGCACCTTTCAACCTGCCCGCTGCGTTCTTCAGAAACACACTCCCGTCCCGCACCAGCTTCTTCCGCTTCAAGTCCTCCTTGGCAAACATCTGACCGCTCTTCATCCTCATGATCGACTTGCTGTCTGTCTTCGTGTAAATCTCATTCAGACGTACTTTCTTCTCGTAACTCGCCACTTTGTTGTCCACGGCTCCAATCACCTCCTTCACGAGGCTCAGGGACTGAGCCAGGTCTTGCTGCTCCACCTCATTGTCTGAGAAGGAAAGGAGAATTGTTTCCCATGGAGCCTTGCAGACAAGGGCAGAAGGAGGCCCTGCCCTCCTCCCTCAGCCTTCTCCCTGTGCGCACGCTGTTGGAGCAATGCCAGTCTGCCTACGGTCATGTGCTTATCCCGCTCTTGGGCACAAGTTTAAATCTCAGTAAAGCTAGACATTTGCAATAATATAGGAAACGTACAATTATATGCTACGTTCGCAAGTAGAAGGAGGCAAACCTTTTTAGGGAGGAAGAGGAACAACAAGTTTCTTACTTGTCTGTTTCACCTCATCTTTCATGTAATGGCGTATAAGCAGGATCAGCCACGAGTGCGTGAGAAGGAGCGGCCATCCCAGCGCTTACGGGAGGAATCGGTGGGAACTATTGCCCGTCCAGTGACAGGGAGAAGTCATTCAGATCTTTGAACTCTTTCCCCCCAAACTATGAAAGTTTACTTAGGAAGTCACAGAGGTAGAAGTGAGCCGTAGAAGACATGGGCTCAAGGAAACAAGTGAGAGGCAACAGAAGGGCGCTTGGAACTTGGGGGTGAGGGTACAGGGGGAGGGATACGAGCCTTGAGAGGAGAAAGAGGAAGGAAAGGTACCCGCATGCTCCAGAGACAGACAGACGGACGGAGGAAAGGGAGGGAGGGTGCGCCCAGGTCAGGGAACGCTTGATGGGCTCACTAAGGGGTTCCTTCCCCTCTTACTATGATCCTCTCCGTCTGCTGACATAACGTTCAGGTGTGTGTTTGCTAACCCTCACCGAGGGTATCTTCCCATTGAATTTTAGGGAGTGGAAGGGAGGGGGAGAGACAGAGGGAGAAACGTCGATGTGAGTGAGACGCATTGATTGGCTGCCTCCACATGTGCCCTACCAGGGTCAGGGACTGAGCCTGCAACTGAGGTACGTGCCCTTGACCAGAATCGAACCTGGGACGCTTCAGTCCATGGGCCAACCCTCTAGCCACGGAGCCACACTGGCCAGGGCGAATGTTTCACGTTTTTGAAGATAAAAGCCCAGGATCCCCTAGGCCCGCAAAGCAGGAACGCGCTCCTCGGCGGCGCTCACCTTTGGTGCACTGCAGGATCCTCTGGAACAGCACGGGGTACTTGGTGATGCGCTGCGTGACCAGCAGTATGCACTCGGGGATGCCCAGCCGCCTCACGACGGCACTGCTCATCTTCTTCTGCAAGGGAATGAGGGCGCGTCAGGACCCGCCCCGGAGGCTGCTCACCCTGTGCGACACGGCTCCGGGACCAGGGCGGGTGCTCATGCTGCACGTCACTACCTTCACGAAGGCCTGGAAACGCTTGTCCTTGGTGTAAAGGTCTTTGAAGTAGTTCACCGACTGGTTGTGCTGCCCACAGAACTTGCCGTACGTCTTCTTCAGGCGCTCAGCGTTCTCCCCGGAAAACTGCACAGAAGAGAGCGGAAGTCAGGCCGTAACTCAGGCGCTAAATCTGCAGCACCATTTTGTACACGGCTGCGTGTTTGTAGAACCCAAGATACTTCCTCATAAACTGCCCCAAAGGATTAAAATGGTGCGGCGGCTCTGGCAAACAGCCTGGCAGTTCCTCCAGAAGTTAAATAACCCAGCAAGTTCACTCCTAGACATAAACCATGTGCCCAGCCCAGCTCGTGTGGCTCCTGAGCCCTGCCCCAGGCACCAAGAGGTCCCCGGGCTCGACTGCCGGTCAGGGCACAGGCCCGATGGCGGGCCTGATCCCCAGGAGGGGCCACGCAGGAGGCAGCTGAGAGATGTGTCTATCTCTTCCTCTCCCTTCCTCTCTATCTAAAAATCAATAAAAACATGTATTTAAAAAATGTGTCCGCACAAAAACTTACATACCTATGTTCATTATTCAAATGGCCCCAAAGCAGAAATAACCCATCAAAGGATAAATGTATACATAAATTGTGACATACATGAGTATTACTCAGCCACAAAAGGAAAAGAAATACTGACTTCATGCATGCTACAATACTGATGAACCTTGAAAGCATGATTCTAAACGAAAAGAGCCAATCACAGCCTTGTTGGCGTGGCTCAGTGGCTGAGTATCGACCTATGGACCAGGAGGTCACAGTTCGATTCTCAGTCAGGGCACATGCCTTGGTTGTGGGCTCCATGCCTGGTAGGGGGCGTGCAGGAGGCAGCCGGTCCATGATTCTCTCTCATCACTGATGTTCTACCTCTCTCTCCCTCTCCCTGCCTCTCTCTGAAATCAATGAAAAAAAAATTAATTTCTAAGAGAACAGAATTAGAAGAGAAAAGCTACTGTCCTCACTACAGAAAGGAAACGGAGGCTCGGAGGGAGAAGCACTTGGCCTGAGCACAAAGCTAACGGGCGCTACAGCCGCGACGCGCGTGCCGGCCGCTGAGCCCCCGCCGCCCCCCCTCACCTGGTTCACAAGCACGTCGCCCATCCTCCTGATGAGGAAGTTCCTCTCGCTCTTGTCCACCAGGGACTCCTTCTTCCGCTCCAGGATCCGCTGGAAGAACTGGCTGTGGATGCTGATCAGCTCGTCCAAACAGGGGAACAGCTTCTCCACCATCTGCTGCTCGAAGAGCAGCTCGGTCATCATGCCCCGGCTGTACACGTCGCTCATGATCTTGAGCGTGCGGATGTGGTGCAGCTCCGTCTGCATCAGCTCTGCCGGGACAGCGCTCGGTGGTCAGGGCCCTCCTCCCGGCGCCCCTGCTGCTGCCAGCAGCCCCCGGAGGCCCAGGCTACTCAGAGCCCGTGTAAGCGTTCAGCCTGGGTCAGCAGCTGCCTTCCCGACAGCGTTTTCCTCCTCTTCCTCCCGCCCCCCTGGGACCTGCCGCTGGTGCTGGGGCCTCATCACCCTGGCGGTTTCGCCATCAGTCTGCACTGGAATTGAAACCTTTCATAATGTACCGTGTTCCTATTTCCTAGAAACAGGAAATAGCGACTCGTCCCTAGTGCGGTGGAGGCAGTAAACAAGAGACTTCTTGTTCGGCCTGAGGCATAAATAAGCACTCATAGGAAATAAAACGGCCAGTACAATTAGAGAAAGCAATTGTAAAGAGAGGAAAAGGGATAGAAGGAAGTAAGAGCATGTCTCTATATCTCAAAGTTGTAAAGGAGAATCTTTGAGATGCTAGACAGATGAACACTGACTCTCCACAGCCCAGGGAATGGCCCACAGCACCCTCTGGACCCCGCGCACACGCAGGGCCAGCAGAGAAGGGCAGGGTCTCACCATAGATCACCTCCTGCCGCTTGACCGCATCCTTCTTCTGCTGCTTCAGAAACTTGCTGTCCACCACGCGACTCCAGGACTCCGCCTCCAGCTGCTTGGACTCACTCTCGAAGTCGCCCATCAGCTGTCCTTCATTCATGTCTGTACCTACTCCTCAAAACAGCAACGAGCCAGCATCACAACCCTGTCTGGGACCTCTCGGAAGCCTGCGTGGACTTCCCTGGGTGTGACCACTTCCTAGGACGCAGACACTCCGCGTGAATCCTGCAGTGTTCACAGAACCACCTTCCAGTAGAGAAGGGACTCTCTGCCTGTTTGGGAGCGACATGCTCTCACCGAGGCTTTGCTAGAGTGGTGAGCATCACACACATCAAATGCCATTAAGACACGATTCCTACGTGAAGTAGGAATTGGATGGGACCTGGGAACTTTGCTTGTTTAGGACAATAGGTTCACACTGAGCCAAGAGAGCTAGAACTTAAAGTCTGGGGGCGGGGCGGAGAGAAAGCGTTTGTATAAAATATGACCATATTAAAAGCAAGGACATCTTTCAATGGACAACTATCTAACAAGGGGGTAGGTGTGATTACCAGTTTATCACCAAGCACTGGATGTTTTATGGACAATTTAGGCAATCTTCACAGGAGTAAGGAAGAGGCAGGCACTAGATTCCACACACGCCTCTATTCTGGGTGAGGCCGCGGCACAGTCGCTACAGAAAACGAAGTGTAGGCTACAACTTCCTCTTACCCTCGTCAGTAAGGGATTCTGTGGACTCGTTGACCTTGACGATTTTATTCAGCGAATCTGTGGAGTGCGACAGGAACTTCCAGGTGTTCGATATGTTCTCGTCGTTGCCAACTCTGGGGACAAAGAGCAGCGCGTCACACACGGGGATGAGCCATGGTCTGTGTTGTCCACTGAGGACCGGGACGATCAGCGACAGCCACCCACGGACTGCGTGACCCAGACACAGGCTTACGCTGGGAACCCAGGAGCAAGAACTACTCATCGAAGTTAAAGCACGTAGCATCACTGCAAACCCGAACTCTGAGCCTTGGGTTTTATTAAAATGATAGATAAGAGTGCTCTGCCCCCCAAATGTATACACATTATAGAAGAAACTTCTCTGTCTGACACTCACCGTCTAACCACTGCATTTCCCTCCTGTCCCCCAATTACAGGCTGAGCACTTACAATAAACTGGATTCTTTTTAGAATTTTTAAATTTTTTTTATTAAATTTATTGGGGTGATATTGGTTATTCTTGTGCTCTCTTGACCCCCAACTCACTAGCTAGCACAGCAGGCACCCAGCGAATGTTTGTGTATGACACAAGGGATTAGCACTAACAATTCAGAATGAAATCACCCTTTTTCCTATTCCTACTTCCTATTTTGATTAGAAACCACCCTTTCAGAACTCAGGGTTTTAGAAGCGGGGTAATGACATACAAAAGCGTAGGACAACCTGGCCCGATGAGGGTGTTTAAAGGGGATCCTTGTGACAAACTGTAGCCACAGCAGTGAGTGATCAAATGTCATCCTCATTCTCATCGGAATCACTCCGTGTACTCCAAACCCCTTATCGAGATCTTTTTGTCAAATGATATGACTATGCCAGTGTTACTGTGCTATCCTTGAACCCCCACTCACCCAGCGATGTTCTGTATGGAGACACTTTTGGACAGCGACATGCTCTGCTGGGACCGTCTATTGGGGAACAGGGGGGCGGCAGTGGCTTCATCAGCCAGGAGGACTGCGGACCGAGGGCGCTCCTTGGGCTGCGAGGCTGTGAAGGGAGAGAAGACACCAGATGAGCGTCACCGCTCCACGCCCACCAGGACTGACTCATCTGACCAAGGCCACAGAAGCGCACTGCTCTACAGCCGACTTGCCCTGGGAGTGTGAATGGGTGGAAAACTCCAGAGAAGACAATTTGGCAATTTCTATTAAAACTGTATATGCCTATACACTTTGATCTGGTAATTCTATTCCAGGATATTTTTATCCCATAAGATATACTTGTTTGTGTTTGAAATGACACATGTCCAAAGTTATTCAATGCAACAGTATTGATAAAACGAAAGACTGGAAATGATACAAATGAATATCAAAAGAAGACCAATTAATACATTATGGCCCGGCCGGTGTGGCTCAGGGCTTGAGCATCAACCCAGGAACCAGGAGGTCCTTGGTTGGATTCCCGGTCAGGGCTCACCTGGGTTGTGGGCTTGATCTCCAGTGGGGGCTGTGCAGGAGGCAGCCAGTCAATGATTTTCTCTCATCACTGATGTGTCTGTCTGTCTCTCTCTGTCTCTCTCTCTCTCCCCTGCTTCCTCTCTGAAATATATGTTTATTTTTTTAAAAAAACGCACAGATCACTGGGCTAACCCTCTGGAATTTCTGACTCAGTAGGTCTGGGTAGGATCCAAGAATTTGCACTTCTAATTAATCCAGAAACTACACTTGAAAAATACTGCCTTAGGGGTAAGTCAATTAAGATGGCATTCATTACCGTGTTATTTTTAAGGGTGCAGTTGGAAACAACTCAGATATATGTCTTGGGGGGAACTGGTAACTGAAACGGGGTGCATGTTTATAAGAGAGCACCCTGCAGCAGTCTTAACAACAGCTTACATGTTATCTCAGAAGGGTAGCGAGAGGGCGGAAAGCAGAATGGATATTTTCAGAGATCTCCATATGTCTAAAGACATGACGGATTAGAAGACGCACATTGGACACAGTACAGTCGGCACCCAGGAGGGTAAGGAACGAGAAAGGAGATGGAGAATGAAAACGGGGACTGTAATAATACTGTATGTCAACTGTAACTGAAGAGTAAATAATTATTAATAAAAAAGGGAACTATATTAAGTAAAACCAAAGTGAAGCCTTGTGCAGATTGGTGACACACAGTCTGATGTGAACGGAGGGCACGATTTCCATTGTTCTGTGGGCCTTGAAGCCTCTGAAAAAAAAAAGAGCGCTTCCCAGTTTATCAAGATGTTTAAAAAGCAAGATCGCTTCTGACTCATGCAATTGTGAGGCACTAAACCAAGAATAACTGTCAACTCACTGAATAGGAATTGCAAGGTGCACAGGAGTCACTGGCTCAAACAGCCAGGATCTCGGTGCCGCCTTTTTAAAACTCCTCATCCAAGGAGACGTTTTTGATTTTTTTGGACAGAGAGGAAGGGAGAGAAATATCGATGTGAGAAAGAAACATCGACCAGCTGCCTCCCGCACGCACCCCGACCGGGGATTGAACTCGCAACCTTCTGGCGTACGGGATGATGCTCCGACCAACCGAGCCACCGGCCGGGGCATGGTGCTGCCTTTGAAGCCACTACACTAACTAGAAACTTTCCAAGAGAGACTGATAACATGTTAAGCTTTGGTCAATAAACCTGCAGCCTTCTCTAACTTAACACAAGATAGATACTCACATCCTAACTGGTAGCCAGTGAGCAGACATAAGCATGGTTAGGCCTTGAATGAGAGTCAGGAAGCACCGGGAGAGGCGGGCTGGGCTACTTACGCTTGTTCCTCATGATGACTGTGGGCAGGGATGACGTGTCGTGCGCCTGAAGGCTCCCTTTCGGCTGCTGAAAGGAGAGAAAGTCACACGTGAAGGTGGCATTTACTCTTCACCTTCTGTCACGTGTCAAGACGCTAAAGTAGAAAGACGGCCAGTTGCTCCCCCTTCCCGGCTGAGTCCTTGGCAATGTCCTCAGCACCCTAGTCCCAGCCAGTCCCCGGCTGGCCTCCCCCAGCCCGCCACTCGCTCTGATTCCACAAAGGCTGCTCCTTTCTGCCTGGAAGGAGCCCGCCTTCCCAGGTTGGCATTCTTCTACCTCACAGCCACCTGAGCATCCCCTCTGCGGCGAACGACCCATCAGCGCTTTCTTCTCACCCACGGCAGCCAGGGGCACCCCCTGGGGATCCCGCTGCCTGAGACCCGGGGTACGGTCTGTCACCCACACGGGCTCACTGCTTCCGCAGGCGCGGTCCTCAGACCAGCAGCATCAGCTAGGGACTCGCTAGAAACGCACCTCCCCGGCCCAACCCGGCCTCTGAATCTCTGAAGGTGGGCCCGGGCGGCTGACTTCTAACAAGGCCCCGAGGTGAGCCTGCTGTACATTCAAGTCTGGGGCCAGGGCGCTGGATAAACGAGCCTGGTTATCGATGAATCACACGGCACCCCGAGCACGTGTGCAGACGTAGCCGGAGAGGCTGTGGGTGACTACACACAGCGGGCACCTGAAGGCTATGCCCCAAACCACGCTCTTCTCCTCCGGGCCGCCTGAGAAGCAGTGCGCATCACCACACGCTGTGACCAGCACACATGCTCAGGCAGGGACCGTCCCCACGCCCCGTGAGAAAGGGGCTGCCAGACACGCATCCAACCCTAACCCCCCGCCCGAGCACGGCAGAGCCGCCGCCCCCCGCCTGCTGCCTCAGGGTCCTGCCTGAGGGAGCCGTAAGTGACAGCAGAGTAGGTCTGCAGACGCAGCTAAGAAGAACATCACTCCAGAAGCGACACAAGAGAACCTATCTAACGTGAACAAGTTCTGAAAACACTGCATTTTCCAAAAGCCACAAATTCCCAAGTATGTTCACTGGAAAGAGAGTAAGTTACTTAAGAGGAAAAAATTTATTTGGGGGGTTATTTTGGTCTCGAAGTTGGGACCAAATGACGAAAAGAAACAAAACCCACACCACCTCCACTCTCCCAGCTCTGAGACTGGACCGGTTCAGGCAGAAACGTCTTACCTTCATTTTGACCTTCGCACAGGAGGCCAGACTTTCTCGACAGCCTTTGTGGACGAAAGCACTGCAATCTGAAAAGGAAGCAAGAAAACCCGCAAGGTGACATTCACGAACAAGCCGATCCCAGGTTCTGACTTGGGCCCAGCAGCCCCGAGCGCCCGTGTGCAGCGCTCACACGGGGGGCAGAGTGGCGGAGCGCAGACTGCGGGCCTTCTCCCAGCCGGGCGTGTGATGTCACCCGGAGGAGAGAAGCAAGAGCAGAAGTGGTTTCGGATTAACAAAGACTCGAAGTCTGGGATCTCAGGCAGGAAGCTGAAAGGCTCCCAGAACTAAAACTAAGAGTGCCTGCCTCAATATGTCACCCTGAGTCACGAGGAAATGCATAAATAAAGCCCCGTCAGAGGGGCTGGGACGCGGGCGTGACTATGTCAGAGGCAGCGTGCGAAGCTGAAAACCCGTCTGTCCTTTTACTGGGACCCACCCCGAGTCAAGAGCCACAGAAGACGGGTGAGGAGAGCCCCGAAGCCCCTCTGGGAGCCCTGACTCGGGAAAAAGAGGAGCCTCCCTGACAGATGGAGCCGGCACCAGTTTGCCAAGGACACACTTTCAGTTCCACTCTTTTGCTTGCTTGTTTGCTTTTTAGTCCTCAGTGGAGGATACGCCTTCCACTGATTTGAGAGAGAGTGGAGGGGAGGGGTAGGAAAAGAGAGGAGAGGAACATGGATGTGAGAGAGCCACATCAATCAGCGGCCTGCCAGGCTGGGCAACCCGCAACCCAGGTTCGTGCCCTTGACCGGAGTCAAACCTGGAACTCTTTGGACCAGGGCCGGTGCTCTAACCACTGAGCCGCCGGCCAGGGCACCTCAATTCTTGTCATTCTCTTGGCCTAACAGGGCCACTGGCATAAAATCCCAGCCCTCTGTGCCTCAGAGGGGTCATCAGTGCTCACTGCTGCCATGATGTCAGAGACCAGAACTGTGCCAGAGGCCAGAGGTGAAGTCAAAACAAATAAAACGTCCCTCTGTGGGGACAACTGCCTCTCCAGGGAACAGGCTCCCTGAGAATAGGAACCAGATGTCATCCACTAAGCAACGCTTCACACAGATTCAGGAACTAATAAACAGCTCCTACCCATCTCCACTCCCTAACTATGGGCCGAGATGTTCTCTTCGCTGGTACATATGGATGGGACGGGGGTGAGGGGAGGGGGTGCGGAGTGATGATGGGGAGGGGATGATACTAGGACAGGGACTGCCAGAATCCCAGACCCAAAGGCCTTCTCGCATTCCTTCCTCTACAGTGGCTCCTCACGCCTACTTGGCGCACGTTTCTCTGTCATCGATTCATGGATGTTTCCATCTCTGTATCCCTCTCCCTTCCTCTCTCTCTAAAAACAAATGAATGGGGGGGAGAGTTAAACAAACAAAAACTGACCAACGAGCACACTGTGAGCAGGCCTTGCAGCCCAGCCGCATGTGTCCCTCCTCCCGATGAGGCCCGCCGCCCGGCGGAGAATGACGTCACTGCTGAGGGCGTGGTGCTAACACTTAAACAGACTTCAGCAACACTCATGTTTGAGATTTAAAAGACAACTTCAGCTGGTGAATCATAAAAGCAGAAATAATGTTTACAATGTGCTTCCAGTAAACAACTTTTCACACGAAGTCCCTTTTTGGGACGTGTCCCCACACCCACTCGTCTTAATGATAAACACTCTGCATGGACATCTGCTTCACACACTCAAGTGCCGACTGGACAACCACTCAGCTTGTTTCCACGCTGTGCTGGGCTCCGCACAGCTGCGGGGTCAGGGGTGTGCGTGGGTGACTTAGGAACCTCGGCCCCACTCGCATCAGCCAAAGTCATGAGCTAAAACCTTATTCTCCGTTTTGGAAAACAGACATTTACCAAGAACACAGGAATCAGAGACCAATTGATCCCCTTTTTCAAGCTCTCTGCCACCAACCATACCACGCTGCTAGGGAAGGCAAAGGATTATCTGGCCTTTTATTGTTAAAGACGATTTCCTAACAGCAGTAAGCAATACGCCTTCATTGTTCAAAATTCTTGCAAGAGGTCTTGGCACAGAGGCTGATGGGAACAGAGCCCACCCCTAATTAGACGCCTCTCAACTTAAAAGCACAAACAACCCCGACTTCCATTTCTGTGCTGCACGAAGGGAATCAGCATCAAACGCAAGAAAAGGGAAACCCACTGGGAGCTACCATCTTATCTGCTGCTGCTGCTTTTCCTCTTTAACCTCTGCCATCAACCAACTCCAGTCTTTGGTGAACATTATACACGGGACATGCCTTCTCTTTCAGCAGACAAATAAAACCCATTAGTGAGAGCATCTTGAGAAGATCAGCTTTAGGACGGTGAAGAGGAGGGACCAGGCCAAACGGAACTGGAGTTCCAGACCCAGGAACATTCCAGGACTGCCCCAGAGGGAGGGTTCACCCTCTCCACTTCTGAGAAGTCAGAGCTCAGAAGGAAGGGGCTTCTCAGGCTTCAGGCCACTGGTCATTGGGACACATGCTAACAAGTCCTGATTATTCTGGGGAAAACTCTGATGCTTCCTAAGGTCACAGGTTAAATAAAGAGTTATTTGTCCGGCCAGTGTGGCTCAATGGTTCATGATCGATCCATGAACCCCCTGCGGAGGTCACAGTTCGATTCCTGGTCAGGGCACAGGCCTGGTTGAGGGCTCAATCGCCAGTAGGGGGCAAGCAGGAGGCGGCTGATGGATAATGATTCTCTCTCATCATTGATGTTTCTATCTTTCTTTCTCTCCCTCTCTGAAGTCAAAAAAATTTATTTTTTTAAAGAAGATGTAGTTTACTAAAGGACAGAAAGGTGCAACTTATTCCTATTATTTCAAACCTAACCACCAAGCAAACTAAAGCAATACAAACAACACAAACCACTTAAATGTGAGCGACTGAGAAATGCGTGCTCCACAGCCCTTTCCGCTCCGTCCTGTGAACCACCTGTGGGGCGTGGGAGACGCTGCCCCGTCTGGATGGACAAAGCTCAGATACAAAAAGGCCTGTAAGATGTTCTCGGTAGCTGGTGTAATAACCACAGAACAAGAGGAAAGCCACAAAAAAGAGCCAAATCATCCTAGCTGAAGGCCTCCTGTCACAGCAGTTTTCATAAGAACACGTAGACAAGAATCAAACAGATGCCAGCGAGATGAAGGAGATGGCCTGAAATATGTAGAAACATTGTTTTTTTCTGGCTTATTGTGGCTAAGGATCATCAAGTTCAGATATCTAAGACTTCAATCTGTTTTCTTACATTGGTATTGTTGTTTTGTTGTTGATCCTTACCTAAGGATATTTTTTCCATTGATTTTTAGAGAGAGTGGAAGGGAAGGGGAGAGAGAAATATCGAGAGACACATTGATTGGTTGCCTCCCACACGCACCCCAACCAGGGCCAGGGACTGAACCTGAAACCAAGGTACGAGCCCTTGACCAGAATCGAACCTGAGCCCCTTCAGTCAGTAGCTGATGCACTAACCACTGAGCAAACCAGCCATGGCTTATATTGGTATTTTTAAGAGACAATAAATAACATTCGGTTAAGTAGAAGAAAAATAAAATGAAAATGCTTCCTCTCTGATCAATAATTGACTCTATTAGGTTCTTCTTTCAAATCTTCCTTTTCCCTAAATAATGAACTTCTTTAATCAAGTATATGTATTTTACTCTACATGTTAGAAAACGCCTGTGTAGAGACCTGTCTTTCAAACCCAAAGTGAAACCCAACCATCACACATGTCCTAAACTCTTATGTTTCCTACTTAGATTGCAGCTGGTCTACTTGTTTATTTTTTTAACCAAGAGCAATAGCCTACCAGAAAAGTACTCAGAAGCTGCTAACACAACAGAAAATGAATCAACAATCATCTCAATATCATTTTACATCTGTTTAAAGCAAACAAAAACAGAACTGCTGGCCAAATCCAAAAACCCAAACATAACAGATTCCTCTGCAGGACTCCACCAAGCACTCCAACCACGTCACTGTGGCCGCTGGAGAGAGCGCTGGCTGCTCAAAGGCTCGACACAACTGGAGAAAGGAGACTCTCCCTCCTTCCCCGTCAAGGTGACCTGACCCTAAATCGCAAGTTGAATTTTGATTTAGGATCAAAAACTAAGTCAAAATAAAAAATAAAACAACGACAACAATGAAACACGAACAGAAATGCCAGGTTTCTCCTAAATTAAGTCGCTTTGAGGCCTTGACAAGGGGCTCCGTCTGTGCTCCCGCTGCTGTCCCCGCCCCAGAGTCGGCCACGGAAGGCCTATGCGGGAGGCTCTGCCCCTGGCTGTTCCTGTGTCTGTGACCATGACCATTTCCACCCAAGTCCACATACGGGACTCAGCTTCTGATTCCAGTGGAGTCAAGAGAGGTTGACTTGCTTGGAAACATTCTATCCACTGAACCTATTAGTATTTGCATGCAAGAGGGTATCTTTATTTAAAATATATTTTTATTGATTTCAGAGAGGAAGGGAGAAGTAGAGAGAGAAACATCAAGGAAGAGAGAGAATCATGGATCGGCTGCCTCCTGCACGCCCCCCACTGAGGACTGAGCCCACAACCTGGGCATGTGCCCGGACGAGAAATCGAACCCTGACAGTGACTCGAGACATTCGGAAGAAGGTGCAATCAATACCGGCCATCACAACACCATCGTGATGCGCTATGTGGCTGAGCTTCTAGACCACAAGTCAGTGCTGGCTGGGCCGCTGCTCGAAGTCTGAGGCTCAGGGGTCCGAAGACAGAGTTCTGCTCAAGCGAAGGAGGCTCAGGGCACAAGGGAGGCGAGTGACCGCCTGGAAGCTACAGCTCCTGAGACGCCTGGGAAGATCCTGAACACGCGGGGATGGAGCGAAGGGAAAAAAGACTGAGTCTCTGAGCTACTCAGATTTTCCACTTCCTGCCCAGATAAGAGATGGCGCTTCTGACACACAATACTCCCTGCAGGCTGTTCCTCAGGAAGCTGGGAGAACCCGCCACGGCTTTATCCCTTCTGTTCTTTGGGAACATGACTACTCATTGCACCTTTCCTCTCAAGCCTCCATTCTGCCCTCATCTTTTTGTAAGTGACAGGCTGAGCACACTGTCATGCCTAAACCTTACTGCCACCACCAACTACCCCTGGAAATGAGCGCTAAGCTACAGCAAGGCCAGGAGTGCCTCAGTTTGCGGGGGGGGGGGGGGGGTGTGGTATGCAAATTTAAAATGTATTTTTGAACCTTAGGTGCACACCGGCCCTACCCAACTGTTCCTTTCTGCTGTCTGGTTCTTTTCATTTCATACTGCCAATCAAGAAATCTGGTCTCGCCCGGCCAGTGTGGCTCAGTGGTTGAGCATCGACCCATGAACCAAGAGGTCACCAGTCTGATTCCTGGTCAGGGCACATGTCCAGGTTGTGGGCTTGATCCCCCGGGGAGGCGGGGCCTGCAGGAAGCAGCCGAGTGATGTTTCTCATCAATGTTTCTACCTCTCTTTCACTTTCTCTTCCTCTCTCTCTAAAAAAAAAAATCAATTAAAATAATTTTTTAAAAATAAATAAATTGCACAGTAAGACAAATAGGGCTGCGGACAACATTTGGGGTATAATATATCCACAGAAGTAATTTTATAAGAATGTGAGGGATACAGCCAGCCTTAAAAAGTCACAACCTCTGTAGCACAGATAAGCTAAGCTATGGGCTGTGTGTTAGCTGTTCTGTTCAGGAAAAAAGAGATGGGAATTATTATCGCAGTAACTTTGAATCTGCTCAAATGAACTTTACAAAAGTTCCAATTTCAATAAGGCAACTATTTTTAGTAACTAATCACTTGGGACACTCCACACAAATGACCCAAAGCAAGAGAATGTCGTGACGTCACAGTCTGAGAAGTGCTTCTGGGAGTCTGGATTAGTCACTCTTTAGTCTGAACTGTTTACAGGGATGACATGGTGCTGATCGCCCCAGCCTCTGGGTGACAGGCTGGGGTTGGGGCAGCGGGGTCTCCAGAGTGGTCCCCTCTGACCACAGCAGCCTCCTGGATTCACCTGGGTGTGTGCTACCGACATCGCCACTTTCCGTCCGTGCAGCATTTTTAGACGCAGTGCCGTGGAGCAGGGTCCGCGAGTGACTGCATGTGGGTCAGAGCTGGCCCGTGACCTACTTTCATGTGTCCGTGAGCGACCAAGGGTTTTCACATTTTTAAATGGTTGAAAAAATTAAAAAGATGAATATGTCCTGACACATGAAAATTACATAAAATTCAATTGCACTGTCCATAAATGAAGTTTACTGGAACCCAGTCATGCTCATTGGTTTAGGCACTGTCCATGGCTGATTTTGCATTAAAACCACACAGTGCAGTAGGGGCTGCCAGTAAGTCTAAGATATTTGCTATCTGGTCCTTCACAGAAGCAGTCTCAGCCAATCTCCATCTCAGAGCAGCATCTTATCAAAAGCAGGAACCACCCGGCCGGCGTGGCTCAGTGGTTGAGTGTCGACCTATGAACCAGGAGGTCACGGTTTGATTCCTGGTCAGGGCACATGCCCGGGTTGGGGGCTCGATCCCCAGTAGAGGGCGTACAGGACGCAGCTGATCAATATTTCTCATCACTGATGTTTCTATCTCTCTCTCCCTCTCCCTTCCTCTCTGAAATCAATAAAAATATACTAAAAAAAATAAAAGAAAAGCAGGAACCATGCTCAGAGAACAGACTGGGGTTCCAGGTGGTTTTCAGCAGGGGCGACAGGTCACAGGAAGCACCCCCCCAAAGAGGCAGTCTCCCTTGGCCGTCTGCACACTGTGATGCTGGCAGGCTGCTGATGCACACAGCGGGTACCAGAAGGAAAGGGAGCACGCTGACCTGACCGGGGACGACTGGTGGCTTCTAGGCTGGTGCCTGTGAGACTGTGCTGGGGCCTGGGGACAACAGGACAGAAAGTCTGAAACTGGAGCTCTCTGAAAAAACAGACAGGCTCTATGTTCTACACCCAGAACGTACTTCTTCATGGTGTTTAAAGAAGGATATACAAAGGGCTACTTCTCCATACAGAGGAGGAAGAGATAGGGGAAGGGTGGCCAGGAAACGAGAAAGGAGGTCCGTGAGCGAGGACAGGAGGAAGCGCGTCTCTTACTTGCACAAGCGTAGGCGTCCTTGCTGGTGAAGGACTTCGCACACTGGCTGCAGCTGATGGGACCCACGATGGGAATGGCACTGAACGCGTGGCCGTTGAGGAGCTTTTTGTCCTTCTCCTTCTCTTTAGAATCCTTCTCCTTCTCCTTGATTTTATCTTTCTCTTTCTCCTTTTCCTGCCAAAGAAAAGAATCAATAGTTCACTGAACACTGGAAGGCCTTCCCTTCCCCTGAGCCACCAGGATGCCATGTGGCCAGCAGTGGTGGGCGGATGCTTGGAACAAAAGTCAGGCACACTGTCCTAGACAACTTATGTTTTACTTTATTTTTACATTTTGTTAATCCTCACCTGAAGATATTTTCCCCATGGCTTCTTCAGAAAGAATAGATGGGAGGGAAGAAGGGAGGGAGGAACATCAATTGTGAGAGAGACACATGGATTGGCCATCTCCCACACGCGTCCCGACTCGGGGCAGGGAGCTAAACTGCAACCAGGTATCTGCCAGAAACCCAGGTATGGGCCTTGACCAGAACCGAACCTGTGACCCTTTGGTGTGCAGGCTCACACTCTAACCATTGACTGAAACCAGCCAGGGCAACCATTTTTTAAAAATTAACTTGTGAAAAAACACAGGAAGTCTGGTCAGGCTAAGCAGCTCTGTCGCTGGCTCACTCGGTGCCTGTTTGCACCAACAAACACCATGCCCAAGGCCCAGCACCGGAAAGAGGCCTCCAGTGCTAGGGAAGGTGCTAGGCGTCTGGAGTGGCCCAGAACCCTCCTCAGGACACCAAAGCACAGCAGCGAGCAATGAGCTCGGCCAGCTGCCGGCGCGGGGCAGAGGGCGGCGGGAATCGGGAGCAGCCTGAGGGAGAGGACGATGATGGAGGGGCACAAACATTACCGAGGTGCCTCTCCGACTTCCAACACCGATCCCAACCCAAGTGAGGGCACGCTCTGAGCTGTCTCCCTCACTCCAGCCAGAGGTATCACACACCCACATCTACACTTCAGTTCTTACTCACTGGAACTCCACGATTCACAGATGCTCACGCTGGCCCAATTTTCAAACTGGGGGGAGGAGGTACTTAAAGTGGACAACGTCAAGGTTATTAGGAGCACTGTCACCGCATTCAGCTGGCTCATCAACAGCAACTGAGAAGTTTCCTTTCAAACCCACTGGACCGTGAGCTACAAGCCGCAGAGTAAGAAGAACGCACTTCGTGGTTCTCACAATCACTACCTGCGGGGCACCCATTTTCCAGGGAATACAATTCTGTTGCTGCAATCTAAAAAACTTCCTGGGAAATGAGCACCCCAAAGCCAGTGATACTGACAACTACCGAATGCCTCACCTTCTGAATCAACACCCTCCACACACGCTATTTCATCTGATTCAGCAACTCTGAAGTAGGCAGGGTGGGCACTGTGCTTCCCATTTTACTACTGAGAAGATCAAGATCAAGAACAGCGAAATTTCTGAAGAGCTCCCATGTGCCATGCACTGGCAAAAGCAATTTACATGCATTTTCTCACAACCACCCACGGAGTCAGTAAGGACTAGTTACCAGCTTAGAGACGGTGAATGCCGCATCTGAGGCCCCACACTAGTAACTGCCCAGCTGGGATTACGATGCAGACCTGGCCGACCCTACAGCTCAGCTCCCTTCACGTCATTCCCCTGCCAGGAGCTGGAGAGGTTTGTTGACTCACAAAAGGTCACACAGCAAACGATCAGCAGAACCCAGGCCCCCGGGCCTCCTACTCAGAACCGAAATGATGACTGTTTGCTAAGTCTCTGGTGCAGGCAAAGTCCTTTTTAGCAGAACACACAATAAAAACCTAAGCACTGAATTGCTACACTTTAAACTATAAAAAATAACAAGAGAGGAAGGGAGAGAAACTACTGTACTTCACTTTACAAAACAGGAAACTGTTATGAGGGGAAATTAGTAACCGCTAAAGTACATAAAGCTCTAATAAAAGTCAATAGCAAAAATTAAGTTTATCAAGTAATTTCTTTCTTTGAACTTAATTTTGTTGAAGGCTTTTCCATATATATATATATATATATATATATATATATATATATATATATATACACACATACAATGTTCATCTGAAAAGCACCTGACTTTATGCTCCAGAAAGCTATGCATGCTCCAAGAGTAAAACAAATCTATGGCAACTTATTCCCTCAAACCTTGCAATGACTTTCAAGTCTGAATATTTAACAAATAATATCCTCATCCTTACAACAGCCCAAAGCTGTCCTTCCAAGGATAAAACAAAACAGAACAATACACTCCACTGTCTCTGTGTTTATTAAAGTCAGTGCTTCAGAGAAGCCAGGCTCTTACCTCCCCATGTTTTGATCCTATGAACCTCACTGTTATCTGGGGTACATCATGAAACCGACCCCATTTTACCGACATGACTGACCCCCATGCCAGGAAAGATGCTCTCACAGAAGCAGGGGCTCATGCCAGCAGGGACGAGCCCAGCAGCTTCGCGCTGCCATCAGAGAAACCTTCAGAGGAAGCCAGAGACTGGTTGAGAAAGGAGGGTGGGAGGGAGGGAGGGAGGGAGGAGGGAGGGTGAGGCAGTGGCTTCCTTAACACAAGCTTAACTATTTGAATGCTGCCCGTAAGCCAACTACCCTAAGTGATGGGCACAGGAAATGAAACAAAACTAATTCCCCAAAATGCAGTGTGTGTGGATGGTGCTGAAGCTGCAGGATGGGAACTCTGACAAGGACTGAACCAACGTTTTAACACTAGAAGCTAAGCATGCCTTGCCCTGGCCAGTGGTTACAGCGTCAGCGGTGGCCTGAAGGGTCCTGGGTTTGATTTCGGTCAAGGGCACCTATCTTCGTTGCAGAGTAGATCCCCGCCCTGGTCGGGGCGTGTGGGGGAGGCAACTAATGGATGTGTCTCTCTCACATCAATGTTTCTCTCTCTCTGTCTCACCCTCTCCCTTCCACTCTCTCTAAAAATCAATGGAAAAATATCCTCAGGGAAGGATTAACAACAACAAAATTAGAAACAAATGCCTCATTTTATAAAAAGCATTAGACAAACAATTGAATTTTTTAAAAAAATCAGAGAACACTCTGGACAACTGTGAAACAGGCTGGGATTACGCAACCTGTCGCGTTGCAGATCTCAAAGACGGTATCGGCGAGATTAGGGATCTGTGTGAAACACTGCAGACCATGTCCTCGCTGTCTGCAGAGGACAGCTGTGTGGCAGGCAGGTCTGAAGAGGGCCACCCCCTCTCCTGTGAAGGGGAACACGACGCGGGTATGCACACTGGTGTCTGGACGCTCTGTAGCAAGCAACTCACTAAGCAGGAAACAGTCCTCTCTGTCAAAGGTGCTAGGAGACAAAAGCAGAAACTGCCAGCCTTCCTGTTGTGCTTCCTGTTTAGGCTCTCCGCCTTTCAAAAACACAACCAATACATTTATCTATACCTCATGCCACCTACTGATAGTTCTTAAAAGGACACGTGAAGATCAGTCTCACTTTCTCAAATCCTACGTGTATGGAGCTACGAGCAAATTGTATTATCCAGAAGAGGAACCGTCAGCCACTCAGTGGCTGGCTCTGGGCTCCTCTGAATATTATGTAACAACTGTTTATTACCATATATTAAAATTAACATTAACAAATTAACATAATGACTGTAATATATCTCGGTTAATAACTTCAAATTACTTTATATATGATCCTTAATTATAAGGAAAGTGGAAATTTCCAAACCATTTCTAGAGACTTTACGAAGAATTAGAGGTAGTGATTTAATATAATCCTCAGAAAATGCTGAAATTTTCCCTTTAAAAGTAGGAATGCTTATAGTGTACATCAATAAAAACAGATTAGATGAGCTCTAATAATATCTCTTTAAAAAATAATTTAAAAGTAAAAATATGTCATTGTCATAAAAATAGCATTTCTAGTGATTTAGCATTATGGAAAAGTCCCATTATTCAATAACTACGAAAAGCAGTAGAGTTCGTGTCATCACACTAAGAAATTATTCACTTATTTTTGTGTTATCATTTAGAGCAGCAATGTTCAACCTTTTCCATCTCGTGGCAAACAAACTAATCACTAAAATTCTGTGGCACTCCACACAGACTGGACGCCTATTGTTGTGCTGGCTGTTGTCACGTTTTTAATTGACAATCTAAGGGAAAAGAGGTCGGAGCCCCTGCCTAAATACTCAGGAACTGCTTGTTTTAAACGTTCTTGTCGCACACTGGTTGAAAATCACTGGTTTAGAGAATAAAATACTTCTGCATAATAACGCTCTACTGTTAGTGCAATGACATATAAAAACAGGGTATTAATGTAACTTAAAAATGTTACTCTGGCCTGTGTGGCTCAGTGGCTGAGTATTGACCTATGAACCAGGAGATCACGGTTCAATCCCTGCTCAGGGCACATGCACGGATTGTGGGCTGAGGATCCCCAATAGGGGCCAGGCAGGAGGCAGCCGATCAATGATTCTCTCTCATCACTGATGTTTCTATCTCTCTGAAATCAATAAAAAATATATTTTAAAGTTGTATTGCTTTAGTATTTCCCCTATTTCTTACTATCGCTTGGTACATTGACAAAAGCTAAAATGTTCTCCTGGAGGTTCTAAAACAATCCTATTTAAAGTTAGCTAGTAACAGTTAGAAAGGTGACTCTTAAGCCTCTTAACATATTTGGCCACCGGGGGTACCCTAAACATCTGAGACTATGAAATAGATTGCAATCAAGGTTACAGACTTGCAATTTTTTGAGGTTTCCACTGCTAGAGATACACTAGCCCCCAGAGATGGAATCTTGAAGCCGAGAGAGAAAGAGGAACCATCTCATTGCAAAAGAGTGTTGTCATTTTGACAAGAGGTCAGCAGATGCGATTTCTGCCAGTGATGACAGACTACCCTCTCACACCAATTACCTCCTTTTCTCCTGCCCTTTCTCTTCATCCTCCCACTAGTAAACTCTAGTCCTCTGAGATTATTAAAAGAGTTAAAAAAAAAAAGACACTGTTCAGTGACAGATTTTGTTTAAGGGTGAGCCTGAAACCTAGAGTACTACTCGCTGGAAGTCGACCACACGAGGTTCTGCCTTAATATTATCTAGTTCTGTGGCCTGAAACACACTTCTTTGTGCTTCATTCTGTGAAATAAGGAGGCTGGGACTTTTGTTAAAGGTCAGGTTCCAGTTTCTTAGTTGTCTTTTTTTTAAAAAAATACATTTTTATTGGTTTCAGAGAGGAAAGGAGAAGGAAAGAGAGGCAGAAACATGGATGATGAGAGAGAATCATTGACCGCTGCCTCTCGCACCCCCCTCACCGGGGATGGAACCCACAACCCAGGCATGTGCTCTAACCGGAAATAGAACTGGTGACCCCCTGGTTCATGGGTCAATGCTCAACCACAGACCCACTGGCTGGACCAATGGCACTTACTTTGCTCTTTTTACTGCTGGACATTTTATTCTTGATGTAGCTGAAAGTGCGGCTGACTTTTGTCCCACTCTTCCCTTCGAAGTCTTTCTTGGAGGGGCTCTGTGGTAGGAAACTGTAGTTCTCTTCTGTTATACTAGATAAAAACAAAAAGACTGATTTTGAAAAAAATTAAAAAAGACTACAGAAGTTATTTTTTAAAAATTAAAACAGCTTCTCCATCCTTCTCCATGAGCATTCTGGTCAGGTGTTCGTGAAGCTACGGGCCAGCTGCCTTATGTGCTCACATGGAAATGGGAGGCAGAGTAAGAAGCGGACGGGGGCTGCTGAACATTTGATACAATAAGGTCGGAGAACAGCCCCTGTTCTGTTGCCAAAGGCACTGTATCATCTCACATTATCACAAGAAGGGGGAGTCCAGGACAGTAAGAGACTTTGAGAAAGACCACATTCATACAACTTTTATTACAATATATTGTTATAACTATACTATTTTTATTAGTTACTGCTCTCATCTCTTACTGTGCCTAATTTATTAACTAAACTTTATCATTCGTATGTATATATAGAAAAAAATACAGTATACATAGTGTTTGGTACTATCGCTGTTTCAGGCAGCCACTGGGGGATTTTGGAATATAGCCCCTGAGGACAAAGGGGACAGACTACTGTGTACACACACACACACACACACACACACACACACACACACACAGGGGACAGACTACTGTACACACACACACACACAGACACACACACACGGTGTTAGGTTTATGAAGTAAAAATCCCCATAAGCGAAGAGCACACAAGTTCATCAAGTCAAACAGAGGTGTTTCTCATGTGAATAAATGCAAGCCCTTTGTCATTAGGATAGTGCAAAGAATAAAAGTAGAAAAAGTACTGACGACATTATTTAAAAAGGGCAGTCTTCATTACAAACCACTTCTAACCACCGTTCCAAAATTCTCTCTCAAAAAAGTAAGAACCCAATGAACTCAATTAACTTAGTTAAATGCCACAGCACATTCTGGACTGTCTGCATTTCCCCTTGGGAAAAGGAGTAACAAATACATGGACAGTACCTCTCCGTCAGATTAGCGCTGGTGTTGTGGAAAGACCGGGAACCTAGAACACAAAAATGGCAGAGAAATAGTGAGAACCAAAGGCTTGTACCCAAAAGAGAGAGAAAATGTCTAAAATGTTTACAATGACACAGATGAAGCAGAGACAGCATCTGAAAGCGTGTGTGGTGCCTTCTCCTCCTAAGGGTTTGATAGAAAGAAAATGAAACTTGAAACCCTCAAATTAGAACGATGATAGGGAGTGAATTTCCCAGGAAAAATGTTTAATCCAGGATTCAAGTAATAGAACAAACCCCAAATTAAGAATGTTTTTCTAATGTTCAAACATACATAAAACATGTTTAATTCTTGTTCTTACCAAGTTCAGTTCCTATTGGCCATCATTCATAGATGATGTCACAGGAAGAATACAAAAGAGGAAATTAAATGTCATATTTGGTGTGCTGTTTACTTTGCATTCAGACACTTCTATACTAAAAGCCTAGCTAATGTGTGTGACATTTTCCTGCGCGTCCCTGGGAATGGGTGAGTGAGCAGGAAGCAGCGTCCGAGCTGGCGTAGGAGGCTTTGGCCGTGTGTGTCTCTAACTTGGGCTGAGATCTCAGGATTTCGTTTCCTCGTCTGGGAGAGGAGGGAAGACACAGATGTTGAGGTCCTCTCCAGGCTGGTGCTTGGTAAACTGAGTAATGCAGGTCCATCCTCCTCCTTCCACAACGCCCGGACCAGACACTGAAGGGTCATCAGGACGAAGGCTAAGCCAGGCCGGGGCTCCCCTGCTGCTGCTTCTATCCTAGGTCCTCCCCCGTTTCCCTGTCCCCAGCTTTCATAAACGCCCTCTCAAAACAAAGAAAACAAAAAAGCCAAGGCTGCGTCAGACAGCAGGGCAATAAGTAGAACAAACAGAGGGCACACCATTATTATTAACCCCTAAACTCCCAAACTGTCCAAGATTCTGAACAGAAATGCAAAATTGTAGTTATTACTAAGTACATAGCCCACAGGCAGGAACACTGCATAAGAAACTTAAACTCTGCATCTTCGAATGTCTGCCTTCTAGTTTTCCGTTTACCTGTTTGGCGATCTTCTATTTCACTTAGGATGCACAGTTACCAACGGACCCATAAGAGTGAGATCTGGAACCTGCCCCTCAGTTCTGCCTGGACTAGGTGTGAAATCAGCAGCATTTTAACCTTAGGCCTTAATTCACTTACACAAAACAAACACCCCTCCCAGCAAAGGTTGGCTGACATCAGTGGCGTTAGAACTTTCTCTACCCACAGGAGCCCTGAAGGCTATATGCAGCATTAACTCTCGCCTGCCAGGACTCCTGTGCACTTAAGCAACTACCTAGTAAGTCACCACACGAGTCATTTTAACAAACTGAAAAGAAAAGCCATAAAAACACCAGCCAGCACAGAGACCAGCCAAAAATAGGCTCCCAGCAGATCTCTGTGAATAAATTAAAAAACTGTACCAACAGTATGTAATTGAACACTGGGAGACTCTGACTCCTGTAAGGGCTTTCAACCTTCCCAATGCTGAAAACTTTTTTCACTCATTTACTATGATCTTTTAGAGGTGGTTCTAAAAACAGACATTAATCTCAATGGCTCTGAGTATGAAATAACCAAGGTTATTTCCATCATATAATTACTGACAAAAGCAAAGCAATCTGTATTAAATTAATTTGTTAGTAAGTTTGTGAACACAGCATATTGACCGCTGACTGCCTTGGGAAATTCACAGTGTACATACCAGCACCTAAAACCTGCTTAAACCAGTTTCTTACATTTATCTGGCCATGAAACAACCCTTCTGTGCCTCCCCGCCCCCAATGCTCACTGGTGTTTCTGAGTTTAAGGAATACGTTTTGAGGAATCCTGTATTCTTGACTCAAAGGTTTCTTCAAGCTCCTATACCTTTAAGAGCCCATCATCGCTTTCATCATCACAATTTTCTACTAGTGGCAGAAGAAACGCTACTGGGGCCTGTTTTATCCGCCATGCTGACCTACTTCCCACACTATTATGAATACATTGAGATGAAACAGCCCTGTCAGGTTTTTAAACTGGGTAACGTCAAATAAGAACATACATATCTGAAACCTACAGTGTCGGGAAAGGACTGGGGGGGGGGGGGGGGGGGAGAAGTTCCAAGGAAAGAAAATAGGAGGAAAAGGCAAGAAGAAAAAAGTTCGACATGAGCTCTTAAGTGCCCTGAGTGGACATGTAGGTATCTGTCCCATGAGACAAAACCAGTGAAACAAGGAAAAAGGACAGGTGCGTGATCAGGCGGAAAGTTCTGTGAGGTCAGCATCACAGAAGGTACGAGGGGGGATGGGAACACCCCCCTGTGCCTCTGGAGGCATCTGTGTCCTGGGCCGGTATCTCATGCCCCGGAACCAGGCCACTGGATTAGTCAGTGTAGGGAGCGTACACAGGACAAGATGGTTTTATCCGAATTAATGTCAAAGCAAAGCGTGAAGACAAATGGTTTAGGAAAGGTGGCATGCAGGGGGAGAAAAGCCCCCCGTCAGCTTCTTAGGACAGAGCCCAGAGCATTCCCAGTGCTGGTCAGAGCCTGGAGAGCAGCCGCCGGGCAGCAAAGAGGCTACTTACTCTGCAGCTCCTCCTCCTCCTCACTGGAATGGGAAGAGCCGAGAGAAAAGAGAGTTTTAGACTTAAGGAGGAGCGGAGAGATGCTGACGGAGAAGGAGATCCGCCGTGCGGGCTGCGGCTGCGGCTGCGCTGAGAAGTGGTTAACGGGAGACGTTAGAACAGGCCCCGGTGACAGCAGGACGAGGGAACAGGCACCTCCAACCCACTCGGAACAGAATGACGTCACTGGCCTGCATGGCTCCTGTCTAGGTAAACGATGCAATTCATTCCCACGTGCATCTTTATTTCTGAATACGCAGAATTCTATAACGCAGCTTAAAAAACCCATAAAACAAGTATGTACTCGTTAGGTTATGAAAACAAGAAGTAAATTGTTCTGAATGGTCGTAACTTATGGCTGGAGTTTCTTTTCCCTTCAAAGAAAAGCATGAGGACTCCGAGCCTGGCTCTCCTGCTCCTCACTCACTCACTCCCTCCCACCTCCTGACGACGCCGCACACCACGTGTACTGGTGACTCAGAGCTTCTGCCTTAGGCCACACCTGCTCACCTGCAGGGGTTTCCCACAGGCAGCTCCCACGAAACAGGCACCGACGTAAACTTGTCTTTCCCTCCAGACTTGCTCCTCCCCTCTACCCCTTCATTGGGTGAGTGGGACCCAAATATAACTCATTCTTGGAAATAGAAAGGTGGGCACCGCCCTTGAATCCTGACATCACACCTCGGTCCTTTTGATTTGGCCTTCTAGAATTCTCTGAGTATCTACTTCTTCCCAATGCCCTGCTCTAGGGCCTGGGTCAGGCCAGCAAACTCCCATCGCAATCATGCAACAGCCTCTCACTGCTCTGCCCGCCTCTCCACCAACACGCTCTTCAGTGTGGTCTCTATGAAGCGTTTCATTCAATGAACTAATCAATTTAATCAACCTGTCACTCCATTGCCCTCAGATAAGAAGCCCAAATCCCTCAGCCCTGCTTCCCACATACTAATTCACTTAGCAAGTTCCTACTTTTGTTTTGGTCTGAACTTTGATATTGCTAACCACAAATTAAAGGGTGTATGTATGTATGTAATATAAAATATATAATACGTACATGCACTTAACTATGCATATATTCCACACTTGTTATTGAACTGAAAGACCAATAGAAAAAACTCTAATTGCCTGACTAAACGTTTGTCCTGACATATCTATCCATGTTATCTTTTCCTAACAGTGTTCTAAGAAAGTAAATGCAAAACCATCAATTCTCATTCCATTGTCCACAGTCAGAAAAAGAGAACGTGAGCACAGGAAGTAGAGGTAAAAACCCTTATCAGCCCTGACTGGTGTGGCTCAGTGGATAGAGCACCGGCCTGCGGACTCACGGGTCCCGGGTTCAATTCCGGCCAAGGGCATGTACCTTGGTTGCGGGCACATACCCAGTAGGGGATGTGCAGGAGGCAGCTGATCCATGTTTCTACCTCTCTATCCCTCTCCCTTCCTCTCTGTAAAAAATCAATAAAACATTAAGAAACAAAACAAAAAACCCTTATCAGCCCTCAGGCCTAACTTTCCAGGGGTGCACCCTGACCTCTAGCCACCTCATTGGTGATCTCGTTAGACCTGGTGCCTATTACATACGCAAGCGGCACAGTGCAGCTCTTAGGGCCGACTTCGCTTTCATAGTCTAATGCAAACTGTTCAATTACAAGCCTGTGTTCCCATCAAGGGACATATCAGCACTCAGCCAATTCCCACACGTGGCGTGAAGGAGGCACACGAATGATGTGAAGGACCAGCACGTCCGCGAACGCCGTTCTCTGTGATAACCATGCAAAACGCAGGGGGAAATGAAACCCCATCAGAGCAGCCTGTGATGTGAAAACATCTCCTGGGGACACCTCTCCTTTCAACATTCCCGCCACTAATGCGCTCAGTTCTTCCAGGGATGCAACTGACCAAGCAGTTCCTCTACCCTTTGCCGGCATCTGCTGGATGCGAGCAATGAAAAGCTTAAAAACCTGCCTGGCTGGTGTGGTTGGGCGTCAACCTATGAACCAGGAGGTCAAAGTTCAATTCCTGGTCAGGGCACATGCCCAGGTTGCAGGCTCAATCCCCAACCAGTAGGGGGCGTGCAGGAGGCAGCAGATCAATGATTCTATCTCATCATTGATGTTTCTATCTCTCCCTCTCCCTTCCTTTATGAAATCAATAAAAATTTTTAAAAAACAAACAAACACAGAATTATTCTGTACAGCAAAAATGAAGTTTATGCTTAAGTTCTATCCGGAAGCTGTGTACGTCTCCACCCAGTCCTCTCGGATGCAAGCAGGAGAAACGCCCCACACATTTCCTGGAGCGGGTTCGCTGAGGGCCGCCCTGCTGGCACTTTCCCACACCACACCGGCAGCGCCAGGGCTTCTCCGACCCTCTGGAAGGAGTCGGCAAGTCATCACGTTCATCCATCAACGCGGCAAGTCGAGGACCCGAGTTAGGAAGCTTTCCCACCCAGTGTTGTTCCCGAGTGAGCTGCCGCCCGTCTAGTTTTCCGCCCAGAAAATGAGACAGAAATACTTTAGTCACCACCTCTACTCAGTATTTTCCTCTACATCACTGGATTTTTGCAACGGATCCCGGCTGAGAAGTAAGGCTGAGTTTGTCTGTTTTTCTAACCTAACAAGTGGTACATGACATTCAGATGGCAGCTCTGGGAATGTGCACTTTCAGAAATGTCCAAATGGCCAGGACTGGTAGAAGCAGCCAATTTCTTTGAAGGAAGAAGACAGAGCAAAGGTAAAGCTGGAAAGTAGTGGCAGAAGGCTGATTTTAGGAAGTATTTTGCTCCCAGACAAGGGTGTTCATTAGACAAAGCCATTTAAAGAACACGAGGGACAGTGTCCTGGTTTCTTTAACAGTCAAAACTCTGGTCCGAGAAAGATGGACCTGGCTGCTAAGAACTTTAAATCTACATTTAAGCCTTATCACATTATATTTGAAAAAAAATTTTTAAGGTCTCACACTGACTATTCATAACACTGAAAAGTGAGTTTCTCAAAGAACAAGCTGCCTTTCTGTGACCAATACCTGGATCCAATGCAAATATGTCTTTGAGCATCTTTCAATTGCAAACGCCCCGTGCAGCATCTCTGCTAACTTTGGGGGGCTCCCGGTGAAGAATTCTTTGTACTGTTTTTTCAAATCATTTTAGAGCCTACAATTATTTCAAAGGACAGTTTTAAAAAAGCGTGTCCGGTTTAGGCCCCCAAATATAATAAATTTACAGTATTCAGGAGATATTTAGATAGTAAGAGGAGGAAGATCACAAAACTGAAATCTCTCTACCCTTTTCTGTTTAAATCAGTGGTTCTCAACCTTCCTAATGCCGCGACCCTTTAATAGTTTCTCATGTTGTGGTGACCCCCAACCATAAAATTATTTTCGTTGCTACTTCATAACGGTCACTTTGCTGCTGTTATGAATCGTAATGTAAATACCTGATATGCAGGACGTATTTTCATTGTTCTTGACCCACAGGTTGAGAACCGCTGGTTTAAATGATGAGCCATTCATGCCGAGGAAGAGGCAAGCAAATTTTGGAAGGTAATGTTATAGGGAGTAAAAGTGAAAAAAAAAAAAAAAAAAAAAAAGACAGAATAAGGGTTAAATATAGTTAATTTTTTAAAAAGGAGCATACTCACTGTCGAACCCAGGATGGCTGATGGTCATTAACGAGACGGATTTTGTCAAAGTGGAAGAAACGGCTGACGTGCAGTAGTTGAAGCCCTGTTGCTTAGATCTGTGGCAGGTCTGCAAACAGAAAGTGGAGAGCGGGTTCTAAGTGCTGCTCTCATGTTCCAGATGAGCACAGAACTCCACCTTCCAGCCCAAGCCAGGGAAGGCAGGCAGCACCGGGCAACAGCGCAGGCTCTGCATTCAGACCCGACTCAGCAGCTGCTCAACTGCACAGAAGCTACTCATTCCTGAGCCTTCGTTTCTTATCGGTAGCCTGGGGGTAATCAGAGTATCCATCCCTTACAGTGGCAAGAATACCTAATAACGTTTCAAACTGAGTGAGGGTTTAATTAACACCTGCCGAATGCATAATCAGGTAAAAAAATTCACTAGAAATATCAAACAAGCTGCAGTTTTTATTCTTTGAAAACCTAAATGTCTCTTACAGAAGTACAGTAATAATATTCTGATCTTAAAGAGTTGGAAACAATTAAAAAAAAAAAGGGTTGGCAATAGCTGGACGGTGTTGCTCAGTGGTTGAGCATTACCTATGAACCAGGAGGTCACGGTCAGATTCCTTGTCAGGGCACATGCCCGCGCAGGTTGCAGGCTCGAAGCCCAGTAGGGAGGGTATGGGGGAGGCAGCCAGTCAATGATTCTTTCTCATCATTGATGTTTCTATCTCTCCCTCTCTGAAATCAGTAAAAATGGTTTTTAAAGTATATATCTTTTTAGAAGAGTTGGAAACAGAGATGCAAGAAAAAGAGTTTCAAGATGACAAGCAAAGCAACCCTGTATCTGGAAAGAAGCCTAAATCTCTTCACTTCCTCTTCTCAGCTCAGACTGCTTCTCTACGTGAGGGTGACTGAAATGGGATCACTTAACTCCCTCAGCAAACTCACTGTGGCTTCAAGGCCATTTGATCCCACCAACGGCAGAGGTTCCCGCAGTAGCAGGTCTGAAACAGCATCAGTCAGTGTCCCCAGTGCACTTCTGCTGTTTGGGGAGCCCGTTCCAATGGGTAATAACTCGATGATAAGCCCTTCCCTTCACGGTAGGCTGAAACCCGCCTCCTTCTGACTTGAGCGTTGAAGGGAAGCAATGAAACCCCGTTACTAGCATTCATTCCACTGGAGGGCACTGAGGACGTCTGATTATTTAGAGCTGTTTCCTCTGTAACCATGGAGTCAGAGGCACCGTTGCTATGTTTCCAATACAACTGTGAGGTCTGAAACATGACCTCAGGGAAAGGCAGAGACTTTTAACAGGAAGTGGCTGCAGACAACTTGTCCACATGAGATACAAGAGCTTGAATACCAGCTCCGAAGTTGCACACAAGATAAAAACTGTAAGTTAGCAGAGGTGCAGGAAGGCGAGGCACAGTGACAGCCCTTGAGGCCTTCAATTTGCTTTTCATTAGGCCTGAATTCCCTCAGGCCTGCACGTGACCACAGGGACACACTGATCACTAAGGTAACCCCCCCCTCCCCTCCCCCCTCCCCGGTGCCAGATTTACTGGGCCACATCATTGCTATGTAGTAGGAAGCAATAAAAATTAAATTTCTATACAAAACCTCAGGCACCTATTCACGGTACAGGCTGTTTAACATTTTTGTTTGCTTGTTTAATTAGAAATGTTTTGGGGGTGGGGAGGTAGAAGAGGGTATTGGGAGGATAAACAGTGATGGAGGGAGGATTGACTTGGGGTGGTGAACACACATACAATATACAGAAGATGTACTGTAGAATTACACACCTGAAACCTATATAATTTTATTAATTAACGTCACCCAAATAAATACAATAAAAAAGAAGTGTCTCACTAAGTTTCTACCTAAACCTCCATTTGCCTGCCCAAAGCCAGGTGTGTAGCTTTTTTGTTTGCTTCGTTACAAGTGTTTCACTTGGGGGTGTGTCCTGGGAGCCGTTCAGGAATCAATCCAAAGTCTCTGCCCAAGAGGCTGGGAGAGCTCCGGGAGCAGCACAGGTGACAGCAAAGCACATAATCCACATTCTCAGCCCCAAACCGCCCCCTCCCCGAGGGGTTGTCAGAAGTGGTGCGGATAAGGAAGGGCTTAAGGTGAGCACTTAGAAAAGGTCACTTGATTTGGGAGACAAGGAAATCATGACCTTCAAGACAAGGACGTTCAAGAGAGTCACCGTGAGAGACAGTAAGAGCTGATCAGGGCTGAGACTAAGAAGGCAATGTCGGCAGCGACAGGGAGGAGAGCGAGAACAGTCCTTTCCTAGACGTGATGAGATAGGACATTTCTTCCAGGAAGGAGCTGCTTGTGCTATGCTTTTGAGAACTGGGAGATTCAGTAATGCTATGTAACACCTTCCGAGACTGGCGTGGTAAAAGAAGTTCTCGGAAAAGAAGGAAAATCTCGGCTTAATATCCCGGGTAGGCTCCTAATTTTTTAAAAAGTTGCTTTGCCCTAGCAGTTCTGGCTCAGTGGATAGAGCGTCAGCCCTGGGACCGAAGGGGCCTGAGCTCGATTCTGATCAAGGGCATGTGCCTTGGTTGAGGGCTAGATCCTTGGCCTTGAGCGGCCTGGGCAGGGCACATGCAAAAGGCAGCCAATTGATGTGTCTCTCTCATACAGATGTTTCTCTCTCTCTGTCTCTCCCCCTCCCTTCCACTCTCTCTAAAAAAATCAATGGGAAAATATCCTTGGGTAAGGATTCATGGAAAAAAAAAAATTGCTTTGATGGTGTATTTAAATCTATGCAGATTAATGATATTCTTTAATGAGTATTAAGTGCTAAAATCTGGCTTTGAACTAGATTCAGGGTAAGTCATCGTAGCTGCTAGCCTCATATTAACATGGCTATTGCATTCTTTGTTCCTAATCTGAGGATACAGTTAGGAAAATAAAATGAAGGTTTTCCAAATTAGCAACATGTCCGCGTGTCAGCCTTACCTGATGACCAAACATCCGATGTTCTCTCTGGCCCGATTCCAGATCCTCTTCTGAAAGGGACACCAGAGAGTCTCCCCGTTCCTCACCCCCGAACGGGTGCCTGAGCTCTTTGGCGTTTGCAGAGTTTCCTTCCAGAGATGAGGATGGCGTGTTTCCGACCCCAGCGCCTCCTGCCAAGCCTTCTAGGCTGAAACTGAACACAGAGCACAGGCGTTCATTCCCCCATTTCCAAGTCTCAGAAAGAAAGGGGGGGGGGTCCAAAGCCCCTTGCGTGGTATCTCTCTCGCATGTTATTTCCATGCCACACGTCAAGGCTGCTACCAGGGCACAGCACAGATGCGCACCGCCTCCCTTTCCCTCACAGGCCATGGGATGCTGAGAGAGAATCTGCTCATAGGCTTTCTTACCTCATTCAACTATTCAAATATTAGACCATCCAGGGCAGTGGTTCTCAACCTTCTGGCCCTTTAAATACAGTTCCTCATGTTGTGTCACAACCATAAAATTATTTTCGTGGCTACTTCATAACTGTAATGTTGCTACTGTGATGAATTGTCATGTAAATATCTGATATGCAGGATGGTCTTAGGCGACCCCTGTGAAAGGGTCGTTCGACCGCCAAAGGGGTTGCGACCCACAGGTTGAGAACCGCTGATCTAGGGTCATTTTCTCAGATTTTTTTTCAATAGATCATATTGACAGACTATACTGATGTTTTATTTATGTGTTTTCCCTTGATCTTTCCCGAACTCTAATCTGCTAATGCCAAATAATCAAATGGCACACAGAGCGTATGAGCATAAGGAACTGTAGAAGGCACACAGGAGACTGAGATTTGCCCCCAAGTCCATTAAGGAGACCTTCGTAACTTTACATTCAACTCCAGTCTGGCTGGGCTTTATAGCTTCACAGGCAGGCATCCACCCCCAGGAAACCCCAGTGCCACTTGTGAGCGTTCTCATCTGTGAGCGCTGGTCGCACAGATGCTGCACAGCTCCCTGCCATTGTTAGTTGTAGACAGGCACACAGGGCGCCTTAAGGAACAGAAGCTGAAAGCCACTGAGTCTGAGTCCTAATATTTTGTCCTGATATTGACTGGGGGTGGGGGGTGGGGTGGTGAGGGGGATTCCTGCGTTAAAGAAGTTTGTGGTTCGCAGAGTAAAAAGCACTTCCTATGAGCAGGTGGCTGCAGAGAGAGGTCAGCCGCTCTCCTCCTTGGGTTTCTAGCCAGAGTGGCTCGCATCTGTTACAGCTACAGAGGAAGCTGCTTTCCAAAAAGCAGCTCAATTGTATTGGAAGGGAGACTGGAGCTATTTAGTTCTTTCTGCTCTAGCTGTACAGTTAATTGCTACAAATAATTCACAAATGCCAGTCCAGAAAGGCTTATATTTGCTTTTTTGTTTCACAAATTACTCACTATGAATTGAAACCATATGCCTCTATTTTCTCTAGTGGGTAAATTAAACAATGAGTTTTGTTTTCCTGATTTCAATCTGACAATAGAAATGATGACTAACTCCAAGCACGAGTAATGTCTCTTGTAAAAGCCATTTTTTAATACCAGGAATAAGAAGACAGGCTAATGAAGAAGAAATTTAGTTTTCTATTGTGAGTGACTTGTAAAGCCTGAGAAAACCAGATCTATGCTTCCCACAAAACTCAACCCTGAAAATGTTTTAGAAATTAAATGTGGCTACTCGGTGAAGAGAAGAACATGAACCTCGGAGTCTGAATTTGGGATCTAAAGCGATGGGTGGGACTTGGTGTCAGAAGGGAGAACGCCTAGGGTCTGGGAATGAGGGAAGACCAAACACAGAGAGACGTGGGTGAGCGCACCACGGAGCCAAGGCTGCAGAAAACACCAAATCACAGCCTCTGGACACAAACGGGATGCGCAGGGCACACCAGCCGACTTCAGTGCTGCACCCCTCAACCGGATTAGCGATGCCGAGAGCCAGGCCAGGGGACGGTGCGCGCACAGACAAAGCAGGCCGCATGTGCGATCCAGCCAGGGAAGCCAGTCCAAGCCAAAGCCCACGCGCCACACTCTGTCCCCCGTGACGCTGCACACGGAACGATACCATACCTTCTGTAATTAAAGTCGGCACTCAGGGCAGCAGAGCACTGCACACCAGAGGGACACCAGCTCATACTGGGGATGACATCAGAGACAGAAATGGAAACGGAGGGACAACAGAGGACACAGGGACGGGGTGATGGGTTTAAAAAGAAAGGGCAGTTAGAGACAGATGGATTTATCTGAACAGCAAAAAATTAGAAGTGCAACATCGTTTTAGAAAAAGGCTAGAACAAAACCCACGGAATCTAAACACTGTTCTATTGACGTCCCTCTACATGATGTCTTGGGAGTGACTACGTGACGCTTTACAGGATGACAAATCCAACCTGAAACCTGATTACTTCTGGGGAAGCCTGAACTCACAGCCCACCCTACTGGCCTCCTGCCATGGAGGGGTTTCAGCCTCCATTACTGCGGACGGTCTCTCGGATACCCCCGCACTCCCTCACTGCAGCATCTCCAGGCCTTGAGTAAAAGGAACAGTGACAGACTACACTGTGGTGGCAGCTCACTGAGTCATCAGTTTTTTTCATGTGTTTCCAGTAAGGATCCATTTAAACCAGACAATTCATAAATCTTTCATAATAAGGACACCCAGTCAAGACTCACATCCATCTTCAAACCCTACTCTAGGGGGCTCTGTATGCTAAAGATGAAGCATGTAACAATGGTCACATTTCCTCGAATTTTAATGATAATAAAGGGATTCTTTTTTTAAAATATATTTTTATTGATTTCAGAGAGGAAGCAGAGATAGAAACATCAATGATGAGAAAGAATCACTGATCGGCTGCCTCCTGCACATCCCACACTAGGGACCAAGCCTGCAACCTGGGCATGTGCCTTGACTGGGAATCAAACCAGTACCCTCTTGGTTCCTGGGTTGATGCTCAACTGCTGAGCCATACCCAGCTGGGCATGAAGGTATTCTTTTAAAGGGGTTATATCATACTCAGGAATTTGTCTTCTGAATTTTCATACAAAAATTTAAAAATCCATTTGTTCATCTACTTCCTTGATTACCTCAGCACTGATGTTTATTCTCAAGCAGCAGGGACAGAAAATCTGGGGTTGAAAAGGCTAAATATAAGCAGGTAGAAAATAATCAATTCAAAATATCAGTTACTCTGTAAAGGGAACTGCATCAACAGGCCGGGATCTTTTATTAACAAAAGCTGCATTTAAAAATAAACTGCTCTCGCCCTGCCAGGGTGGCTCAGTGGCTGAGTGTGGACCCATGAACCAGGAGGTCACGGAGCGATTCCTGGTCAGGGCACAGGCCCGGGTTGCGGGCTCCATCCCCAGTAGGGGGCGTGCAGGGGCACTGCTGATCAGTGGTTCTCATCTTTGAGGTTTCCATCTCTCTCCCTTTCCTCTCTGAAATCAATTTTTAAAAAATTAAATAAACTGCTATAATTTGGGCTTAAAGTTCTCTGTGACACGCCTTTGTTTCCACAAGAGGAACGGCAGTAAAAGTACTCAGCTCCCTCCTGAGCCTTGGAAATGGGAAGACCCACAGACACCAAAGCCCCTCAGATCTTGATAGAGCAGACCCTTCTCCGTGGTTTTGTTCTCCACGGTTTCAGTGACCAGGGTCTAAAAATATTAAATGGAAAATTCCAGAAATAAACCAATAATGAGCTTTAAAGCACGTGTCTGTCTGAGCAGTGTGACGAAATGTCTCCCCGTCCCACTCTGCCCACCCGGAGCTGCATCATCCCTTGTGCAGCTTCCCCGCTGTTCTCGTCCCCGCTGCTTAGTCAGCTCCTCAACAGCCGCCTCGGCTATCAGCCTGACTGTCTAGGTATCTCAGAGCTGTGTCCAAGTTACCCCGATCTACTAATAATGGCCTCAGAGCCAGTCACATCACTTCTATGACAAAACATTGCTATAACTGTTCTCTGTTATGATTAGTTGTTGTTGTTCATCTCTTACTAAAGTTATAAATTAAACTTTATCATAGGTACATATAGAAAAAACAGTATATATATAGGGCTCGGTACTATCCACTGGGGGTCTTGGTGCATATCCCTGGTGGATAAGGGAGCACCGACTATACACCTACTAACTTTCTTTGGTTGACAAATGGGGGTTTTTGAGAGAGGAGAGGAGAGGAGGAAAATATGAGAGCTACCCCATGGCCCTTGTAAAGTGAAAATCTTTAATATTACTATAATTTTTAAATACTTTCCATTGTAAAACACTCTAAATCAGATTATATTAACAGTATGAAGGTCAAGGTGCGGAAGCGGAAAGTAGACGTACGCAGCTGAGGCACAGCTCTAGCTTGGAGAGCAAGATCAGACCGACTGATAACTCGCTGGCGTGAGGAGAAGGGAGCCTCCATGCAGTGTTCCAGCAAACACGAGACTCAGATTCTTTACAATTGTTAACTGTAAATCTCCAAACTATTAATAAAGAGGCATCTTACATCTAAATATCCAACTTATTAATAACACGATGTGGTTAACCAGTAAATGAGCATACATTACCAAATAATGAATTACATGTATAATTTTATTGTACAGAAATAATCTTCTATAGACTTAAAATTCCCTTTCCTCTCAGAAATGGTACGTGAGAGACTGGGATGAAATGTAAGATGAAGAGGACGGAGAGCCACAGGCAGACAGACAGCAGGACATGCTTTCCCAAGAGCCCAGAAGCTGCAGATGGTCCTACAGCAGCAGGAACACAGCCCTTTCTGCAGCAGCAAACACCTTCCACAAAGAAGGGTATTTCTGAGAGCATCTAATGTCCCCGATTCCTCGGGGGTGGGGTGGGGGGGGATTACATTATTTTTTATTGTCGATATTATAGATGTCTCTTTTAATACTTGTTGGAATGTTTCAATTTTACTAGTTAAGGCTTAATACAAAACTTATAAGTATGCCTCGGCCTCTTCCTACAGAATATGACTGAGGGTGAAGCTGTCAGCGAGTGGCCGGGACGCTGGAACTATTTGCTAACTTGGACGGCACCCAGCTACTTGCCATCTTCCAGGGTCTTCAAGCGCATGGTTTCAATGAGTTCCGATTAAAGAGCTCCCACGGGGAGCCTGACATGACTTATGGCCCGTTCCTCTGAAGAAAACCTTCACCAGAGTCATGGTTATCGGAGATTCATGAGAATATTTGTATTTGAGCTCAATTTTGCACTTAACTCTGGAGTTAAAGGGAGCAGCCACTTGAAAGACACAGTGGGAAAGAGCACTATTCGCCTGCTTCCCCGCAAACAGCGTCAGCTCATGTTAACAAGCCCTCTTTATGCCCGGCTGGCGGGGCGAGTGGTTGAGTGTTGACCCATGAACCAGGAAAAGTCACAGAGCGATTCCCGGTCAGGGCATCTGCCTGGGTTGTGCGCTCAATTCCCAACCGGGGGCATGGAGGAAGCAGCCAACCAATGGTTCTCTCTCACCACTGATGTTTCTCTCTCTCTCCCTTCCTCTCTGAAATAAATAAATAAAATTTTTAAAAAAGAATATGTTGAAAATATTCTAGGGCCTTAATTTAATTCTTTTAAACTTTAGGTATTTCTGGTTCTTCCCCACCCCCCACCCCCCACCCCACCCCTTTTTTTGGAAAGAAAGAAAAACTCCTCCCTCGGGTCCATTAGAGAGGCACAGCGTCAACATGTCTTCAAAGTGTTCTGGTGAAAGTTGGGGAGACCCTGTTACCAAAACTTTAGATTCAAGAAACTATTTCATAGGGAATGGGCATCAGCAATCAAGTTCCTGTATCTTATTTGCCTGAGCAGATGTGACACTATTGGAAAACAGCTGCTGAATCTTGGAATAGGCAGAATAACGAGAGGCTGGTTAGTAAATGCTGAGGCAACATGGTTAGTCCAATGAGTGAGTGAACTCTGTACCTTCTCCTATGAATGGGAGGTCTCCTGACAACATCCCCAAGAACGCGCATTGAACTGAAAATGAATGGTGGAAGAGGTCAGTGTTGAGGTGAAACAAAATGGATACAGACACATGAAACACACAGACATCACACCAGGAGAGATACAATCCCCAAAGAGAAACAGCAGGAAGTCAGGGATGAAGGGATGTGGAATGAGAAAAATATCAGACCCCAAGGGGCCTGGCCACTTCTGTGGAGGCCTAGCTTGGCTCCCTCCTTGCTCCCTGGAGTTAATCAGATGACAGGGAATGAGGTTCACTCAATTATAAAAGTAAAAGGATCAGGACAAGCAAAGGCCATTCAAAACTTACAAAGGGTTTTCTTAACACTTAAAATTTCAGGCTTCACTGTATGCAGGCAATACTATGAGCATTAGTCAAACTAATTAAAAGTGATACCCCATCCCATTATCTCCAGAGGTCTTGGGACCGTGATGCTGGGTAGTCCTTAATGTGAAGCTCAAATAGGAGATTCTCATTAAAGGCTGAAAATACAAATAATTTAGGTGATAGGGTTCTTCTCTTAGTTCAACCAAAGGATCACTATGTAATCCTGGGCAAACCATTTAATCTGAGCTTCAATTTCCTCACCCGAGCTAAATGATCCATACAGTCCCATCCAGCTGTGAAACCAAGGCCATGGCAAAGGGATCCACAGGGGTTATAAAGAAAAATGATTTCTATATAAAGCAAACACTCATTTCTTGACACTTATCATCTAAGACAAGGATGGCTAGCTGCAAGAATCTTTTCCTACACCCTATGGTTTCTATTGGTGTAAATGCTTTAAGGGAAAAAAAAGAGTACAGCATGAATACAGCTAAAAAGGAAAGCTTTTAGAAATTGCTTTTTACGTAATTTAGGTATTCAATCTCTCACCAACGATAACCCCAAAGCAGAAACTCCTCAAAAACAAGCACACAGAGAGACTGACTGCCCAGCAGCCGGCGCCTCACCTCCGGTGGCTCATTTCTCCATCGCTGGCGGCATTCTTGCCAGGACCCCAGCTGTGCCTCCGGAAAGGGGACAGCGAGCGCAGGGAGCTCCTCAGCACAGAGCAGTTGGCAGGCACTTCGGTGATGCTGTCCATCTCCTCCTCCTCCATCTCACCTGAGCCGGCAGGCTCGCTCTCACTCTCTCGCCCCTCCGCGCCCACCCCGGGGCTGTAGAAGCCGTCGAGGGACTGCTGCTCTCTGGACCTGTGCAGAGCTGGCATCTGGGGGAGGGACACATCGCTGCCATGCGAAGAGTGGCGGTCCAGGGAGGCGGTGTCGTCGGTGGAGGAACTGGATCCGGTGATGTCACAGACCGACTGCTCTTCCTCGGGCTGGAACGGGGAGGAAGCGAATGCGGTTGAAGAGCAGAACCAAGAAGACGCCTGCTATCCCTATCGAGCCAGTGGCGTCATGGTGGGCGGGACGGACAAGATAGAATGGGCTTCAAGGGAGATTTCTTTTTTAAAGCGTAATCACAGCTGGATTAAATAGCCTCCAGTAAAGGTAGGGTCCAGGGCCTATGCTCTTTCTGCCCTCTAGGGGTGCTAGACTAGAAGCCCATCAACTGTCCCTTTCTAACACAGGTCAGTTCCTTCAGTCAATACCCCCAACTGGAATGAAGGGAGCCCTATGTCTGTGGGGTTCTGCTGAATGAAACGCTAAATTGATATCTTATTAGGTTCAATTCTCACAAGCCTTACCTAAAAACAAGGTTGTCTGCTTGGCTACAGGGATGATGTGCTGAGGGTGACATCCCAAAAGCAACCCTGTGATTGCTTTTAGTGGCCTTTTGAAAAAATGTCAGGTTATGAGCCCACCTAAAATCTTCCATAAATGCCCAAATTCTGGCCACAAATTCTTAAATATAAGAAATCTATGCCCGGTCGGCGTGGCTCAGCGGTTAAGCATTGATCTAGGAACCAAGAGGTCACTGGGTTCAATTGCCGGTCAGGGCACATGCCTGGGTTGCAGACTCGATCCCCAATAGGGGGCATGTAGGAGGCAGCCAACTGATGCTGTTTCTCTCTCACTGATGTTTCTCTCTCTCTATCCCTCCCCCTTTCTCTCTCTAAAAATCAAATAAGATACAGGAACTTGATTGCTGATGCCATATATATATATATATATATATATATATATATATATATATATATTTAAAGAAAGAAATTTACTCTTTTTTCTCACTTCACTGAGAATTGGCTGAGTACTATCAGGCCGAAGTGTACATAAAATAATCCATAAAGTGATGGGGCGGGGGTGGGAGAATAAACATGAAGCTCATAACACTCACCAAAAAGTCATAATATTTCGCAGGAGGCAGGCTGAGTGGGATTATTAAGTTTGTGACAAACACGGCAGGCTGTTAAAGGGACCTCTGTGAGGCCAGAGGCCCGCTGATGGCTGCAGGAAGTGACCTAACGCACACTCATGGTTCGCATTAAAGATGTTGCAATGGCTCTCCCACGGATTGTATTTCAGAGGAGGGAGGCGAAGAGGGCTGGGGCCGGGGAAGAAACTCGGGGCTGGCCTGCAAACGCATGCGGATGGCCACCGAGAAAGACTTTTAAGTAGCGGATGGGCCGTCTGCCACTGCTGTGCTTCTATGTGAATCAGTGGCTATTAAAGCAGGTGTTGGGAGATTGAAAGCAAAATCACAGAAACTAAACAAATTTTAGAGTCAGGTCTAGGAACACGTCTCAATTCTGTTGCCAGCAGAGTAAATCTGAGTAAACTTAACCCACCAGAGCCTCTATTTCCTGAGGACTCCGAGGATAAAACCCCCCACCATACAGCATTGCTGGGGTCATGAAATGAGATCACACATTTAAAGAAGTTCAGTGTCGAGCGAACAGTAAGTACTCTGTAAATATCAGCCCGCCTCTCTCCTTTTCTGTCCATATGTAAAGCCTTGGTCTTAATAATGCCAGAGAAGACATTACAAAACCTCTCTTGGGCACATCCTGGGAGTGGAACCACTAAGAGGAAGGGGCCACTGGACATCCTGGTGCGAGCAGGGGCAGGTGGCAAGTGCACCGCCCTCCTGCTTTCCTGAGGGCTCGGGTGTGAAACCAGGGAAGACCATTCGGGGAGTAAAAATTGTATCGCAGGGTCTGCGTGGCTCAGTGGTTGAGCGTAAGCCTAGGAACCAGGAGGTCACGGATGAATTCCCGGTCAGGGGGCATGCCTGGGCTGTGGGCTCGATCCCCAGTGGGGGGCCTGTAGGAGGCAGCTGATCAATGACTCTCCCTCATCATTGTTATTTCTAGTTCTCCCTCTCCCTTCCTCTCTGATATCAATAAAAAAATATGAATTTTTAAAAACTGTACCTATCTGGTCACCCTGAGAAAAAACAATTGCTAAATCTAGCACTGGTATGAAACACTGGTATGAACAATCTTATAAATGCTTCTGGCAGTTTGAAAAGCAGGTAAAACATACAAAATGCTAATTCTGCGTACCTAGGAAAATCACTCAATTTAGGGAGCAGAAATAACTACCATTCTGTAGAGATGGTTACATCCAGGGAAGGTGTCATGCACTAGGAGGCAGCAGCATTTCTAAGTGAAGACTTTCCCATTTTTATCAGGTTTTTTACTACACACAGAAACGTTTAACAAAACACGTGCGTAACCATGACACCATTCAGGGATTAGGGATGATTCAAACTTAAAGCTGGAACGTAGATATTGTCTAATCTATTTATCTCAGACAAAAGCAATTTATCTTCAAAGATCAGCATCTCTAGAATGGTATTCAGCAGAGACTGTGTGTGTGTGTGTGTGTGTGTTGGGGGTAGGGGAGTGCGGCAGGAGATTGGTGGTTCAGGTGGAGGAGACTTTAGAAGTCCTTATAATGAAAACCTCAAAATTACAGTGAAAATTACCCAAATTCAGGTTTTTTTGGGTTTGTTTTTTTTTAATGCTATTGGTTTCCCTATTCCTAAATAACTTCAGAAAAGGACAGACCTTCCCAAGTATGTGGAATTTTTACTTGACACACTCTCGAGCCAACCAGTCCACTCTGAGCAACCATGACAGGAATCCTGAAACTCCACAAATCTTCGCAAGCCCCTGGAGGAGATGCGGAGAGCAAGGGAAAGGAGCCGGGAGGAAAGGTCAGGGAAGGCCAAAGGGACACACAAGGGCCGCTTGGACAGCAATGAGAGTGTCTGAAGGTCATTCAAGAGGCTTGAATACATTGTGGGCCAGAACCCCAGAACGTTAAAGCCTCCATTCTTTTCCTTTTTTTTTTTAATTTCAGAGAGGAGGAGAGAGAAACATCAATGATGAGAGAGAATCGTGGTTGGCTGCCTCCTGCGCGCCCCCTACAGGGGATCGAGCCCACAACACAGGCATGTGCCCAGACTGGAAATGGAACTGTGACCTCCTGGTTCATAGGTTGACACTCCATCACTGAGCCACGCTGGCCGGGCAAGTCTCCATGCTTCTACCATAACTTTGCAACAGCACCTCCAAGCGGGCCTGGAGAATGTATCTACCCACTGACACAACTGCTCCCCTCACTGCCCCAAAGTCACCATGAACCTGCACACAGGGGCCTTCACAGCGGCCTCGCCTGCCCCTCACCCCCTCACTGCTAAGACAACCTCCTGTGGGGCACAGATCTGCATGCCAGTGCTGACCCTGCTGTGCGAAAGGCCTCTAGTTTTCTTAGGAAACAAAGCAGAACTCGATGCAACCAGGTGCAAAAAAAAAAAAAAAAAAAAAAGGAAACCACCTCCACCCTCTTAGGGGGCCTCAAATTATAAGAAAAACACGAGGTGATTCATGTGGCTGGGCTGGGCTTTTCAGAGAGAAAGCTTGGGCTCCCTAGCAGAGATCTAGAAAGTTCCAATTAAGCCACTTGACATCACCCAGCTCCACAGTGAGCTTCAGGCCTAAGCACATTAGTCAGAAATGACTCTGTGGTTAGTTTATACACATGACATCATGCAGTCTGAGCCGCGGTCCTTCCTCCCACTGAAAAGTGCTCATTGTCATCTGATTTCGTTCACTTCCAGTTCGTGCTGTGATGCTGCAGGAAATAAAGGGGCCGCGGCCTTGTTCGAAACCCCTGGGGCCCTGGAGCTCCCCTCTCTGAGGGACCCCGACACTGCTCCCGCAGAGACCACGGCAGGGCCAGAGACAGGCCCACGAGGCCCCACTCAGCGAGCCACAGGCGGTACCTTGGAGAAGACGATGCTGTCCACGTCTTCGCTGGGCGAGTGGAAGAGGTCGGAGTCACTCCCGGATTCTCTTTTCAGTTCACCTTCTGTGGGAGCACACTCCCGGCCCAGCCCGACACCCAGGAAGTTCTCACATTCTGAAAAAGAGACTGTATTCAATCAATACGTTAAAAAGGTCCGTTTCTTTCCATTCCAGCCGTCAGACCAGGGACTGCAGGGCTTCGTTATAACGGAGCTGCCAGGCAATGGGCTGAGCCTCATACAGTAACAAGAGTGTCCTTTCACCCAGCCAGTGTGGCCCAGTGGTTCAGCATCAACTATGAACCAGGTCACAGTTCAATTCCTGGTCAGGCTACATGCGTGGGTTGCAGGCTCGATCCCCAGTAGGGGTTGTGCAAGAGGCAGCCGATCAAGGATTCTCTCTCATCACTGATGTTTCTCTCTCTCCCTCTCCCTTTGTCTCTGAAATCAATAAAAAAACAAAAATCACAGGTCTTCTGGAGTGCCCCGCCACACACACACACACACACACACACACACACACACACACACACACAGTTCAGAGAGTATGATACCTTGGGTGGAGCTGGTGGGTGTGAGCTTTCCACTCCTTCCCCTTTCCACACGTGGAAAAATCAGAAACCCCGTCCCGTGGCTGAGGGAAAACGGGGGGCTGGCCAGGAAGAGAAAGGGCTGTCCCAGCCACTGAGCTGAGCCCTAACAGTCCAGCTGGCAGCCTCACAGAGCACGTCCCCGCTCCGGGCTGGAAAACACCAGCCCCAGACATTCTCATGGAAAAGCCACAGGAGGACCCAGGGCAGCCCTCGCAGCAACTCCTCCCCCAGGAGAGCCCGCACCACGGGGACCACTGACCCAGACGGAGGAGCATCAGCACCGCTGTGGGAGATGCTGGTGCCTGCTGAGCCAGGGAGGGGGCAGAGCAGGGGAACCAGGAGAAAGGATAGGAAAGGACTTGAAGCCGTTATGAAACCCACAAATGGGGGGAGGAGGGTTAAAGGCAAGCTAACCCACACCCCAGCTCACGTGTGTTGGTAAGTTTTCAAAAGGAGTAAAATCTTTCCTTTCTTCCTACGTGTCCCCTTCCTAATGAATAAGATAGAGCAGCGCATGAAGGTAGAAGAAGAATGGGCAAAGCCTTAGAGATAGACTGGCGTGGCTTAAATCTCGGACTGACTACTTATCGCCAGGAAGGTCCCAGGCAGGAAGTCACTTAGCCCCCAGTCTCCATTTCCACAGCAGTGAAACGGGAAGATGGGGAGCTCCAGTTAGAAATGATTTATACACACAGCCATCAGAGCTCTGCCCCTTGGCACACAACAGGCGTGTGATCAGCTCGATAATGAAGTCAGGGCTTCACTGACCTGTAACGTGTGGCTCAAGTAGCCTCCTCAGTCAGGAGGCCTTGAGGTGGGCCAGACCCGTTTTATGACCCTTACACAAATGTCAACAACTTCTGTGTCCTGAGCCATTAGCTTTTTCACAGCGAGCAAAACGTGTGCTCTTAACGATGCTGTCTAGTCATCTGGGTATAAAATTATATGTTTGCAAACAAATTACAGTCGGGGTCGGGTAGCGTAGGAACATACCAGCACTCACTGGGCTCAGCGTGGTGCTTTCCTGCATTTATTTACCCAGAATTTAAAAATATACAAAGTAGTTTTAAAAGATACTCTCTCATTTGGTTTAACACTACTGCTGGCCTGCGCTGTGTTCATAAAGCAAAAGAAGGAAACCTGCCTAGAATTCACCAAAAAAACTCTGCCTGAAAGTAAAAAACCTCACGTCTTAAGTTCAGAAGCATAAACCAGATGTTGGATTTTGTTAAACTGAAGTTTAAAAACACCAAAGGGGGATGTTTGGGGTTGGAGTGTGTGTGTGTGTGTGTGTGGGGGGGGGGGGGGGGGGTCGTCAACAAAATTCAAGATCATTTCTTTAAACAAGTAAATGAAACTACCGCACATGGAGAAACTCCTGCGAATATTCAAACTGTGAGGCAACCTCACTCACCTTCACAGGGACAGACAGTTCATTGCTGGGGTGGTTGGGAATAATTACACTTTTAGAAAAAGCCCCAGACAGCTCATGGGATAAAGTAAGGGGAAACTTTTAAATGAAAGATTCTAAGGGCCGGACTGGGGACGTTTCAGCTGCATTTGAACAGAATCAATCTCATAGCACACGGAGGCCCCGAACACTATAGCCTATTAATATCCTTTTTAAAAAATATCTATTTTATTGATTTTTTACAGAGAGGAAGGGAGAGGGATAGAGTTAGAAACATCAATGAGAGAGAAACATCCATCAGCTGCCTCCTGCACACCTCCTACTGGGGATGTGCCCGCAACCAAGGTACCTGCCCTTGACCAGAATCGAACCCGGGACCCTTGAGTCCGCAGGCCGACGCTCTAGCCACTGAGCCACACCGGTTAGGGCACCTATTAATATCCCTTAAGTGCTTTCTCCGCGTGGGACAAAAGTAGCGAAAAACACTCTGCACATCTGTTTCCAACACTCCCTTTGGAGTGAACTGAGGTGAGAATCAGTAGGAAAACCCCCTGGAAATAAAGGATTTAAAGTTTGTCTTTAAAAGTTGTTTTTGTGTGTTTTTTTAAATACACTTTTATGGACTTCAGAGAGAGGAAGAGAGGGACAGAAAAGAAACATCAATGATGACAGAGAATCTCTGGTTGGCTGCCTCCTGCACTCCCCACACTGGGGATCGAGCCCACAACCCTGGCATGTGCCCTTAATCGGAATCGAACCGTGACCTCCTGGTTCATAGGTTGAGGCTCAACCACTGAGCCATGCAGGCCAGGCTGAAGTTCGCCTTTAAATGTAAGACTACTGCAGTACAACCACGGGCAAATGGTTTCCAGAAACGCCTTAAATGATGCCTCGGTAGTTTTTAAAGCAGGTTATTAAAATCTGGAAATGTAAACAGAAGTTCTGGGGGGAATGTAGACTTAAGAGGCCAGAATGTAATTAGCCAGTGTTCATGGCAGCTGCAGGGACAGGCAATGGCTACAGCTGCCCACCATGGCGTTCGGGTGACACCCAATAGGAAAAGCTGGTGATGCTAGGGAGGTCAGAGACAATGGCGCACAGAGACGTGAGGGAACACGCCTTCGTCCCCGTGAATTAGTGACTAAACCTGGGACCACAGCCACGTGCTGTTATTACCAAGCAAGGTCTTAAGAGCATGATACCCTCACCCGTTGTTACTGAGACCTCCTGAGCGCTTAGGGAAAGACTCAGTTCCTGACAGTACTTCCAAAGTCTATGGTTCTTAATGGTCGGCTGCACAGGGAGCAACCAAAGGAGCTCTGAAAGAGTTTGATATCCAGGCCACACCCCCCAGAGCAAGTAAATCAGAAGCTCTGGGGGTAGGACCCAGCCATCCATGTATCTTAACGCTCCCAAGTTACTTTTTTTTTTCATTCTGGAATGTGAACCTGTTTTTAATTACAGTTGATATAAATATTATATTCGTTCCACGTGTACAACACAGTGATCTGATATTTATATTCCTTACAAAGTGATCACACCGTGAGAACTCTAGCAACCATCTGTCGCGGTACAAAGTTATTGTGGTACCACTGACTGCATTCCCTATGCTGTCCATTACATCCCATGCCTTACTTACGTTATAACTGTAAGGTTGCACCTTTTGATCTCCTTCACCTTTTTGCCCATGCCCCCATTGCTCAACCCTGCCAAGATACTTTCAACGTGTAGCTATGATTGAGAGCCACAGACTTAGTCCTTCACAGTATATATTTATAGTTTTACTGGATTAAGAAATTGCATTACGTCATTGTGTAGCATGCTAAGGAAGAACAGACCTCCAAATCGAACGACCTGGTGTTGGAGTGGAACCATGGCTCTAGAACATGTGCATTTTGGACACCGGTGTTCAAGCGAGCCGGAGGGGAAGCCCTGCTTACCTGGGCTCTGCGGGGGAGCCAGCAGGGAGGCTGCATCAGCACACGGCTCAATTGTGCACCAGCTTTCCCGGTTTATCTGAAGGAGAGAAGAGAGACTGAGTTTCAGACAGTGAAGCCATGTGGGATGCTCTTCCAGCAGCTGCAAGTGCACATACTGCTCCATCACTTCCGTCTTTTTCTTTGAAACTTGACTGCAAAGTGGGTAAAATTATTTTAAGAAAAAATACCTTTTCACAATACACACAAGGCAATCGATAATTAATGCTCTGGGGAGATTTTTGATAAAACTTAGGCATATAAGAGTCATTTTTATTAAATTTAACATAATCTTCAAATGGCCATTAGAGATTTTAACACACCTCTTTCCATAATTGCTAAAACAAGTAGACAAAATCCATAAGGATACAGAAAACTTGAAAGACATTATCAACCAATTTGATCTAACAAACAGAGAGAGCACTTCCTGCAACAACAACAGGACACATTCTTTTGGAGTGTGCACGGGAGATAGACCGTATTTCGCAGAAATCAATGCGGTAGAAGAGAGAGAAACAATAAAAGAAATAAAAATCAAAAGGTGATTTCCTTGAAAAGATCAATGATACTGCTAAAACTCTAGCTAGGCCGAGCAAGAACAAAAGTTACAAATGATCAATATCAGAAATTAAAGGGGGACATTATCACAGAACTTATAGACATTGAAAAGATAACAAAGAAATACTATGGACGACTTTAGTGCCTATCACTGTAACCCAGATTAGAGATCTTTCCTTAGATGTGTTTGAGGCGCATAAAAAGCCCAAAGGTGTGGAAACAGGAACGAAGGATGGCTCTGAGTACACACATGTAGCACATCTGTTGTCATGTTAGTCTCCATTCCAAAAGGTGACCTCTACGACGGGGGTTTTTGCATGAACAAATAAGCCTTGTACTATCAACACCCTTCTTAGCCGGCTCGAGATGAGGCTTGGCAAAAGGTTCTGATGGCCAACTCCGGATTAGGAGACACGAGAGAAAGAAACCATCGTGTTGAGACTACTAATAACCTGAGTTTTAAGAGAAAAACAAAGACAATGATGATGATCCCTCTATCCAGATTTGCCCTGATGGAATCTGTCAGCCATGAGGCAAATACAGGACTGGCAACAGACTGAATGGGCCGAGGAAGGAACAGTTCAAGATTATTCCCAAATGTTTGAGCAAGGAGCTCGAAATGAGGAAAACAGAAACTTGGCCATTAGATGTCCGTGTCTTCTGGAGGGATAAGTTACCAAAACAGAGTTTCTGGCTCTGACCACGTTCATGACGCTTTAAATAAAAAAAAACACCAAAGTTAGTCCTTTGTTCATATCGTCTCCATGACAAAAAGATCATGGCAACTGCAGGTATTCAACATCCACAGTTCTGGTAAGTTCTTGCGCATGTGCCCCATGGGTAAGAGAAGGTACTTCAGAAGAAACGCCAGACCCTCACCGGACCCGGCCCACAGGTTATATTTCCTGCCCTGGGACCCCTTGCGGTTACACAAATCACACCCACGTTGCGTTCCCATCAGGCTGAAAATAGAGCTGTACATATTTTCAGCGCAGAGGGAGCTGGCTTTTGTTTTTGGCAGCGTGTCTGCTACTGTTTATATCCGAACATCCTAATAATACAGCCCACGGTTACACCCAGCCTTCCCAGCCGTTGCCCGTATTTACTTCCTCTGCATCTGTCTCAGGAGATGCAGCCAGAGTTCCAACTCTGAACAAAAGGAAGCAGAACCCACCATCCGGACATGGGAGCCAAGCCTTGAGTCAGTCTTTTCAGGGAATCAGACTGTCACTGAGCAGATGCTGTGGCCACCTTCAAGCCTCAGCCTCCGTACCTTTCATTGAAGGCAATGAGGAAGCCTCTCAGAGCAAGCCAAGGTTTCAAGCATGTATATTTCTCTGGAAAGTGACGCTGGCCTTAAAGACAAACTACTCCTTTGGCTTTAGCTCTAGGTCAAGTGGCCTACCCAGACATCATGAATAGGGCGGAGGGGGTCCTCTGGAAACACTTTCATTCAGTGCACACAAAACATGGTTGCACATCTTTTAAGCAGCCATCTGAAACTCTGAATTACTGGCTACAAAGTATTAATGACCAGGTGCAAAGTATGCTCATCAAACACATGAGAAACCAAGAACCTAAAATTATAATAAAACAGAAATGGCCCCTGGACTACGTCGGTTCAGATCGCCGGTGAATCCTAGAGTCTGACCCTCTTCTGTCTTGGCAGATGGTAGTTCTGCCCAGTTTCTGATCCTTGCTACCCTCTTGTTTAAGAACGGCCTCAGGAATGCTTATCCTGTCAGCTACGGAACGGCGCTGGGCGAAAGCTCCTGTCAGTCACCAACTTGGGGGGCCAACGCTAGCTTACTAAAGGACGTGGAGGAAAATAGGCATGTAGATACCAAGGGGATTCTGCTAACAATGAAAATTATTACATATCCCAGTCTGAGCATGTGATTTAGCATTGCCAACCATTTATCCTAAGAGCCTGAAGTCATAGGCATTAGGAGAGAGTAACCAGGGGACTGTCACACAGTGAGGAAGAGGAATGTGTATGTGTGGACTTGGATGGGGGACCGAGGAGGGTGGTAACAAGGAATACTACCAACTCGTGTGTTATTATTTAGGGGGGGATTCAGAAAGGAAGGAAGGTTTGGGATGCTGGGGTTGATGGTGAGAACAAGCGCTACCTGAAGATAAAGACCAATGTACGTAGCCTCGGGCGAATCTAAGGCCTGATGCAGAAGAACTACCCTGAAACTATACAGACCTGACAAAGGGAAGAGAGACCAGAGTGCAGAATAAGCCAAAATGCAGGGGATGTAAGACAGGATGGGAATTCTGAAGCTAATCTACAGTGATTGTTAAGATGCCAATGGGAGGGACTGGAGCTGTAAGTGTGTAATACCAAAATGATGGGCTCACAATCTCAATTTTATGATTATTGTCATACTTCATCTCTGTGATGGTTACCTTATCAGTACACTGAATACAGTTTATAGAAAATGATGCTTATGAATCCACACTTACAAATCTTAAAAGATTAACTCACTCAATTAGCGAATACCTAGTATTTTTATTGTTGTTGTTAATCCTCCCCGAAGGATATTTTTCCCATTGCTTTTCAGAGAGAGTGGAAAGGAGGGAGGGAGGGGGAGAGAAACAGAAGAGAGACACATCGATTGGTTATCTCCTGCATACGCCCCACTTGGCAGTGAGGGTGGGGATGGAACCTGCAACCCAGGTACATGCCCTTGACCAGGAATGAAACTCTTCCATGTGAAGGCCGACACTCTGACCACTGAACCACGTCAGCCAGGGCCTTACCAAGTATTTAATCTGAATCAGGGACACTGCTCTGAGTGCTTAGAAATGTCTAGTGAACATATGAAAAAATTTCAAGCTCCTTAGTATGAAAAGCAAACTTCCAGAGATAAAAATAGATTGCAAACATACACATGATCACTTGAGATCTGAAGTATACCTAATACCATTATCTTTTTTTAAAATATATTGTTATGGATTTCAAAGAGAAAGGGAGAGGGAGAGAGAGCTAGAAACATAAATGATGAGAAAGGATCATGGATTGGCTGCCTCCTGCACTCCCCATACTGTGGATCGAGCCCGAAACCCAGGCATGTGCCCTTGACCTGGAATCAAACCTGGGACCTTTCAATCCGCAGGCCGACGCTCTATCCACTCAGCCAAGTCAGCTAGGGTCCCAATACCATTATTTTTTAAAAACACTAATTAAAGATAATAAAATTCAAAGTGGAAGATAATTGGAGAGCACTTCTGAGTATTTTTTAGAAGAATTATAGGGAAAATCTGCTACAACTTGTGTGACAAACTGCAAGTATAAGAGATGGTGCACCTGTCCAAGGTGTTTACAGAAGGCAATGTCCTGAGAAAGAAGTGATGGTTTAGTTTCTAGGACTTCTCCCAACATGAAAGGTCTCGGACAGAAAAAACATGCATTTTTATATATAAATAACAACTGATATACATATTCATGTAATAAAAAGAACTGGTCGCCTCAAAGAAACGGTCTAGGATGGCAAGAACATGGACTCTGAAAGCAATCGGATCTGGGGCTGCATCCTACCAGCTATTGTGCATGAGCCATGAGACCTTCAGAAAATGACTGACTATCGGAATCTGTTTTTCCGTAAGTAAAACGAGACCAGGAATGTAAAAAGTAAATGCCCGTATCTCCTATCCATCCCCTTCTTCCCACTGTGACCACGAAAGCATTTTATCCGGCCTGGACTCCCACAATGGCAGCCTAGCTGATGCCCACAGTTAGAATGACCCTGTATAAACATACCCTGAGAAGTGCTGTATCCAAACAAAGCAAATTCCTCACCAGGGTGGTCGAGACCTTGCTTTTCTAGGTCCCCGCTGCGCCTCCAGCTGCCCTGCCGCTCCCCACTTACCCAGGTGCTCCTGTCACATGGCCCAGCCAGTTCCCTCTTCCTAAAACCCCTTCCCCTTGGTGTAACAGGCATGTTCTTATCCTGCAGGGATCCTTTTTGTTTTGTTTTTTTTAATGACATCACCTGAGAAGGATCTTTATCTAAAATAGGGCTTGCCCGGCCAGCATGGCTCAGTGGTTGAGCATCGACCTATGAACCAGGAGGTCATGGTTCGATTCCGGGTCAGGGCACAGGCCCGGGTTGTGGGCTCGATCCCCAGTGTGGGGCGTGCAGGAGGCAGCCGATCCATGATTCTCATCATTGATGTTTCTATCTCTCTCGCCTTCTGCCTTCCTCTCTGAAATCAATGCAAATATTTAAAAAAATAAAACTTTAAAATCGCATCTATGAGGCCAGTAAGCCTGTGATTTTGCTCCACATAAAGGTTTTCATGCCCAGTTCGAGCACAGAGCTCCTCACATTTTAGCATTTTTTAAATGTATGACATTCCTATGAGACTGAGATCTTCTCTCTCCCCTTCTTCTTGTCCTTTTCCCTGCCCCATCCCCCGACATGTAAAATCATGGAGTCAAGCATAAAAAGGTCCTAAACACTAGGCTCTCCC